CAGTTTGGTCGGTATGCGTGCCCGTTGTGCAGGTACCATGTGATGAGAAACGAGGAATGAGAATGACTAAGTGAAAGTTGGGTACAAGAAGCAAACCCTAGAAAACTGTACCCCATATGTGCTACCCCACTATAGCCTACTGTAGCTATGTCATATAAATCTGACACACCCCCATAGGCAAAGTGGGGGAGAACAAGGGGTCACAAGACCAGTCAAGCAAAGCAAAGCAAAAACAAGCTCAGGGTGGATCACAAAGTCACCACACATTCCGAGCACAAGTTCAAGGCCACAAGGCCAGTTCACAAGCAGGAGTACACATATATATAAAAAGGCTAGACAAACAAGAGCAGGTATATATATATGTAACAGTACAAGTAAGGTCAAGAGGTGAGCAAGTGAGGCAAGGTAGGCACAAGGCCCAGCTGAGTACAGAAGCGCTGATGGTCACAAGGCGCAAGTGCCTTGGTGAAGATATCAGCAGTGTTGGCCTCAGAGGCCACGTACGCAAGACGCAGCTGACCACGCTGCTGTAGCTCACGAGCAAGAAAGTAGCGGAGAGCAATGTGCTTCGTTCTGTGCTCCAGTCGCTGCTCCCGACACAAGGCCAGCATGGCCTTGTTGTCTACGTACAGCACTGGAGGAGAACGAGGCAACTCTCCGAGGTCAGTCAGGAGGTAGGTGAGCCAGCGAAGCTCCTGTGCAGCCATGGCTCCTGCGTAGATCTCAGCCTCACAACTGGAGCCGAGAACAGAAGACGAGCGAGTAGCCCGCCACGAAACAGAGCCGGAACCAAGGCTGAAGGTGTAACCCTGTGACGACCGCTGCGTAGCCTGGTCGTCAGCCCAAGAAGCGTCTGCGTGCCCAGTAAGGACCACTGGACTCTGCCCTCCAAGCACAAGCCCCATGCCCGACGTACTGCACAAGTAGCGCAACACCCTCTTAGCTGCAGCCATGTGCTCCGGTCTGTGTCTCCCAGGAGCAACATAGCGTGCAAGAATGCTAAGAGGGTATGCAAGGTCAGGTCGTGTGCAGGTCATTAGGTACATGAGGCAGCCAACAAGCTCTGGGTACGGGCCACTCGACTCTACGGACTCATCCGAAGGCAGAGCTGAGAGCGAGTGGCGAGTAGGCAGAGGAGTGGCCTGAGGCGAGGAGTACGTGAAGCCGAAGCGCTGAAGGACCTGCTGCACCATGTGTGACTGAGTCAGGGTAATGGTGCGGCGTGCTCTGTCCCGAGTGATCTGCAAGCCAAGGTAGCTGCGCAGTTCACCCAGGTCAGTGCACGTGTGTCTCTTCTGCAGCTCGGACTTCACGTGGGCTAGTCCAGCAGTGTCAGCTGTGGCAAAGACCAAGTCGTCGACGTACACGAGGATGTAGAACGGCGGCAAAGAAGTGTCGGTGTGCAGAAACAGCGACGGGTCGGCAGTAGAGGGAGCAAACCCAAGAGCCGCAAGTGTAGTCCTCAGTGTGTCGTGCCACTCACGCGGTGCCTGGCGGAGACCGTAGACTGGCCGCCGTAGGCTCCACTGGGTGCCAGGAGGAAAAGACCCAGTGAAGCCAGGTGGGCGACGCAGCCAGATCTCCTCGTGCAGGCTGCCCTGCAAGAAAGCAGTGCTGAAGTCAAGAGAGTGTAGCTCGTAGTCACGGTGAGCAGCTACGTGCAGCAGTACCCGAAGAGTGGTCATCTTCGGGGTGGGAGAGAAGGTCTGAAAGTAGTCAACTCCCTGCCGCTGACTGAAGCCACGAGCCACGTAACGCGCCTTGAAGACAGGCGGAGAACCCGGCGGTCGCTTCACCCTGAAAATCCACATGCCACTGACGATGTTCGCCCCAGGAGGGGGAACAGCGTCAACGTAGGTGCCTGTGGACTTCTAGGAAGCCATCTCTGCGTCCATAGCTGCCTGCCACTGAGAGGAGTAGGGACCCTCTATCGCCTCCGCGTAAGAGCGCGGAGTCGGGATGTCAAGTGCATCCGGGTCTCCCTCAGGGGTAAGCAGTACGGACACGAGATGAGGTGAAGCAGCGGCCAAGCACTGAAACTCCTCCTGCCTGTCCTCAAGGACGTCCGTGCCAAGGGCACACTCACCCCCGACGGACGGAGGACAGACAGACTCAGACTCAGCAACAAGACTGGCGACGTAGTCTAGGCGACAGTGAGCAGCAAAGTCGACGAGCTCAGCAACTAGAGCAGACGCAGCAGTGGACTCAAAGGAAGGGTCAGTGACAACCGTAGCAAGGAGACGCGTGACAGTAGGACTGGCAGCGCGAAGAGAGTCCGACTCCGGGTCGGCAAGAGTAGGAAGAGAAGACTTAGGAGGAGAAGGCAAAGGGGCACGCAGAGGAGCAGTGGACGGACGCAGAGACATCCGGTGCGTGCCAGGGACAGGAGGAGGACGCTGACGCGAACCGCGACCACTAGTGCGAGCAGCACGGACAGGCGACGCAGGGCGAGACGCAGGCTCACGACGCTCAGCAAGACCTCCAGTAGGACCAGTGTAGGGAGACGGAGCAGGCAGTGGGGAGGCCGGCTGTAACTGTAACTGCGACGGGACAGGCTGTGGACACTCTAAGGGAGGAGGAGGAGGACCAGTAGAAGGCGGGAGACCAAGAACCTGCTGAAGGAGCGGAACGAAGTACGGCCGAGGCCGCGCGGCGACTCCAGACACAGGAGGGACAGCACCAGCACCCGCAGGGGTAGCACCAGCACCAGTAGCAGCTCCAGCTCCAGAACCCCCAGCAGCACCAGTAGTACCCCCAGCAGGACCGCCTCCAGGACCGACAGCAGTAGCCTCCGCGCCAACACCCGCAGCAACTCCAGCTCCAGAAGTACCCGCAGGTCCAGCAGCTCCAGTACTCCCAGTACGAGCACCTCCGGGACCCGTGGCACCAGCTCCCTCAGAAGCAACAGAACCTCCAGTACCCGCAGCACCTCCAGCTCCAGCAGCTCCAGCAGCTCGCCTCCAGCGCCGGGCAAACCACTCACGCAGCTCCTGGGGAGAGAGTGGCTCTCGGCGAGAGGGAGCACCCGGTGAACCGCCAGGCACAGCACCACCAGGCGTAGCACCCCCAGGCTCAGCACCTCCAGGCGTAGTACCCCCAGGCTCAGCACCCCCAGACGCAGCACCCCCAGGCTCAGCACCTCCAGGCGTAGTACCCCCAGGCTCAGCACCCCCAGTCGTAGTACCCCCAGACTCAGCACCCCCAGGCTGAGCACCCCCAGGCTCAGCACCCCCAGGCGTAGCACCCACACGCTCAGCACCCCCAGAGTCAGCACCCCCAGGCTCAGCACCCTCAGCAGCACCAGAGTCACCAGCAACCTCGACAGGCTCAACAGCGTCTACCTGGGACACACCTGAAGGGGCAGGACCCTGAGGGGGGAGGGGGTCTACCGGGGGGGGACCTGGTACAAGGAAGAGCGGTGGCGGGGGGAGGGACGGAGTGCGGTAGGGGAAGAGGCGGTAGTAGGGGACCGACTCGTCGAACGTGACGTCCTGGGAGGACAGAACACGGCGAGAGGTGGGGTGGTAGAACTGCCACCCTGGGGCGTCAGGGGGGAAACCCAAGAAGAAGGAGCAGCACGAGGGGACAGCTTGTCCGCAGACAAGTCGCGGACAAACGCCCGAGATCCCCAGACACGGAACGCAGACGCATCGCCAACCTTCCCCGTCCACAGCAAAGCTGGGGAGGTCTCCGGCATGGAGACCCTGGGCTGAAGGTTGATCTGATGCGCCGCGTACCGAACCGCAAACGGCCACAGAAAATGGGGGGCAGCTGCATGCATCATGGACGTACGGGCGACGTCCATGACCATGCCAATGCGGCGCTCAGCAATCCCATTTTGCTGTGGAGAGTCCGGAAGCGTGAAGGTCTGGCGGATGCCTCGTGCACGACAGTAGGCTCGCAGAAGGCCAGAGGAGAACTCTCCGCCTCTGTCAGAGTGCAGACGCAGAACAGGAAAGTCCGAGCCAAAGCTCCGCCTGAGCTGGAGACGAGCTGCGCGGATCCAGTCGATCAACACCTCAGTGACATCACCCTTGCTGCGCAAGGGGAAGACTGTGGTGTAACGCGAGTAGTCGTCAACCACCAGCAGGAAGTAGCGCTCGTGACCCTGTCCACGGACGCGGGCCGGGCCCCACACGTCCATGTGAAGCGTCTGCAGCGGGGCCTCTGTCGGAGGAAACTGGGAGGAGTGAGGGGTAGCCCGCTGCCGTCCCTCGACACAGGGGACGCAGGTAGGGCCTGGCCCCGGAGGAAGGGGAGGGAGGGACCGGGGAAGACCAGAGACAAGGACACGGGAGGCCATGCTCCGGAGACGAAGCAGGGAGGGGTGGCCAAGGCGGTGGTGCCAGAGGAGAGTCTCGTGAGACAGGAGGCGACACGAGCAGGGGGCAGACTCAGGACCAGACCTGGACGCTGCAGCAAACACCTGACCCGACGCAGCTACCTGACCAGACGCAGGGACTGGAGGAGACGCAGTGGTCAGTGTGTACAGGCTCGACCCTGGCCGACGTGTAAACGTGGCCAGGTGGCGGCCTGTCCGAGCGTCCGTGCAGTGGGTCACCCGCTGACTCGCAGGAGTGAACTGGTGAACCCCCGCATCCTGTAGGTCAGCACCACTCACCAAGTTCGTAGAGAACGAGGGGAGGTAGAGACCAGACAGGGTGCCAGAGGGGGCCGCCGGACACGGGAGGACAGTGGAGAAGTGAGCAAGGACAGGACCCCCAGAGGGGTCTGCCAGGGAGACCGCAACTGGCCGGCCAAGCGGCGTGAGTGTGGTGCGGTCTCGAAAGAAGGAGCGAGAAGCCCCCGAGTCAAGTGTGAAGGTGTGGGAGGCCGAAGCCGACGCAGAACCTGAGAGAGCAGACTCACCAGCACCTGAGGGAGCAGACGCACCTAGAGCAGCAGCCTCGCTAGCACCTAGAGCAGCAGCCTTACCAGTACCTAGAGCAGCAGTCTCAATGCCCGGGTCGGGCGGAAAACACCGGTAACAGTCACCCTCATCACTAATAGTCACAGTATACACGGCAGCAAGAATAGCATCAAAGTCAAGGTCAAAGACAGCTACCCCCGCCCTAGACAGCTCACCCCAGCGGGGGATCTCAGTGGCCTCAGGGAACTGGTGACGCCAAGCGTCCGTGAGGCGGCCAAAGCAGCGCTGGGTGGAGTGCGCACCCCCGCACTGCTCACCCGCGCGGTCACCGGTGCGCAGGACGTAGGTGCACGGACCAGCACCCCCACCCCTCTGGCGTGCAGTGTACCACTCACGGAGCTGCTGAGGGGAGGGGACGTCACGAGTGCGCTGCTGCTGCTGCTGCTGCTGCTGCTGCTGGCGCTGACCACCACCGGAGCTGACCCTCTGCGCAGCGCCACCCCGACCAGCTCCACCTCCTCCTCCTCCTCCTCCTCCACCGCCGCCACCTCCGCTCCCTCCGCCACTGCCGCTGCCTCCTGCGCCTCCACTGCCGCCACCTACACCTCCACCCCCGCCACCACTCCCACCGCCACCCCCACCTCCTCCACCACCTCCACCGCCGCCTCCACCGCCCCCGCTAGCTCCTCCAGTGCCCCTGCCCCCCTTGCCCCTGCCAGGGCGGCGTCTCCCGCTAGGGGTAGACGCTGCCCCAACCGACTCCAAACCAGCGAGGTCGGCCGCAGCAGCAGAGGCAACAGAGGGCAAAAGAGGGGAGGGGGAACACCCCTCAAAGATGGGGGTGCGAGGGTCACCACGAGAGGCTCCTACAGCGACTATGCTCTTTTCTGCTGCTAGGAGGGCCTTCTCGAGGAGGTCAACGGTGAGAGTGGTGGGACAAACCGAGAGGAAGTGGTCCCTGACTACGCGAAGGGAGTCAGGGAGACGGGTGACTATGTAGTAGAGGGTGATGTACATGGGGGGGGGGTTCTTGGCGCAGAACTCAGCAGGAAGCGCAGCGTGGTAGCGAGTGTCACTAGAGCGGAGGTGCGTAATGAGGTCAGCGACTGTGGGAAAGGCAGCAAGGTCAGGGAAGAGGTACGGTAGCATGAGGCGGCTCAGTGCAGCAGTGGCAGGGGAGGAGTAGCGTGCAACTACAGCGTCGTACAAGGTCTGAGCACTCTTGTACTGGCTAAAGTGCGCACGCTCAGAGGTAGGGAGGTGGCGACGCACAGCAAGACGTGCAGCAGCATCGCGCGTGGCCCACTGTGAGCGAACGGTGGCGTCAGCATCAGCAGCGGGGGCAGGAGAGGCACCAGAAGTGAGGTCAAAGAGGGAGAGGCCGTCTGCTCTGTCGCACTGTAAGAAAAGCTGCAGGTCATCTATCCAGACGTCAAAGTCAATGGCCCGACCCTCAGCGTCAAAAGTGAGGACACTAGGGGTAGCCATGACAGCAGTAGACTAGCAGTGCAAACAGTAGGGCAAGGGCAGTGCTGTGAGAGAGGCGCTGCTCTTACCGGACAGGGCGGTTCGGGCGGCTCGGCTGCAGGGCGGCTCGGCGGCTCGGCGGCTCGGCGGCTGGGCGGCTCGGCGGCGGGGCGGCTCGGCTGCTGGGCGGCTCGGCTGCGGACAGGGCGGCTCGGCGGCTGGGCGGCTCGGCGGCTCGGCTGCTGGGCGGCTCGGCTGCTGGGCGGCTCGGCGGCTGGGCTGCTTGGCTGCTGGGCGGCTCGGCGGGGCCGCTGAGAGGGCGGCGTCCGGGGCCGCTGGGAGGAGGCGGCGGGGCCGTAAAGGTAAGTGGCGGGGCCGCGGAGGTAGGTGGCGGGGCCGCACAGTGAGGTGGCGGGGCCGCGAAGGTAGGTGGCGGGGCCGCACAGGTAGGTGGCGGGGCCGCGGAGGTAGGTGGCGGGGCCGCACAGTGAGGTGGCGGGGCCGCGAAGGTAGGTGGCGGGACCGCACAGGTAGGTGGCGGGGCCGCGGAGGTAGGTGGCGGGGCCGCACAGTGAGGTGGCGGGGCCGCGAAGGTAGGTGGCGGGGCCACACAGGTAGGTGGCGGGGCCGCACAGGTAGGTGGCGGGGCCGCGGAGGTAGGTGGCGGGGCCGCGGAGGTAGGTGGCGGGGCCGCACAGTGAGGTGGCGGGGCCGCGAAGGTAGGTGGCGGGGCCGCGGAGGTAGGTGGCGATGGGCGCGACGGGCGCGACGGGCGCGACGGGCGCGACGGGCGCGACGGGCGCGGCGGGCCGAAAGGGCGGCGCGACTCGGGCCGGCGCAAAACGCGCTCCGGGCAGGAAAAAAAAAATTTCGTGGTGGTGGGCCCTAGGAATCGTTCCCACTAGGGAACCTGCTCGATACCATGATGAGAAACGAGGAATGAGAATGACTAAGTGAAAGTTGGGTACAAGAAGCAAACCCTAGAAAACTGTACCCCATATGTGCTACCCCACTATAGCCTACTGTAGCTATGTCATATAAATCTGACACCATGCACGACTGGAATGCCTATATTTGGCAAATTACATATATTCAAAATGTTCAAAATGTTAGAACCTGGTAGAGGGGTGGCGAATGGTATAATGTAAACAAAATGCGAATGTGGTATTCACTATATCTTTACAGAGAGAATGATGCGTGGGTCAGTTTGGTCAGTATGCACGCTTGTGTGCAGGCACAAGGCGGAGCTGGAGCTCTAAAAAATATCTTAAATTTTGTGGATCTAAAAGGTTAGAACCTAGTGTTGTTAAAGTAATCTAGTGGACTGTTAAGAAAATGGTACTTACATAGATTCATAAGGTTAGAACCTATTAGAGGGGTGGGGAATGGTATACTGTAAAGGAAGAGTGAAACATATGTGATATTCACTGTATTTATACAGAGAAAATGATACGTGGGTCGGTTCGGGTAGTATGCACGTTTGTGTGCAGGTAGAAGGCGGAGGTGGAGCTCTAAAATATTGCAAATTATGTGGATCTAAAAGGTTAGTGCCTAGTCTTGTTAAAGTAGATGTCCTAATCTAGTGGACTGTTAAGAAAATGGTACTAACTGCATCTTTATAAACATACGTAATGTGCTGGTCAGTTTGGTCAGTATACGTGCCTGTAGTGCAGGTACCATGCACGACTGGCATGCCTATATTTGGCGAATTACATAGATCCAAAAGGTTAGAACCTGGTAGAGGGGTGGGAAATGGTATAATGTAAATGAAAAGCGAAACATATGTGTCATTCAATCCACTTATACATAGAAAATGATGCGTGAGCCGGTTCGGGTAGTATGCACGCTTGTGTGCAGGTACAAGGCGGAGCTGGAGCTCTGAAATATTGCAAATTATGTGGATCTAAAAGGTTAGAACCCAGTCTTGTTAAAGTAGATGTCCTAATCTAGTGGACTGGCAAGAAAATGGTACTAACTGCATCTCTATAAACATACGTAATGCGCTGGTCAGTTTGGTCAGTATGCGTGCCTGTAGTGCAGGTACCATGCACGACTGGAATGCCTATTTTTGGCAAATTACATAGATCCAAAAGGTTAGAACCTGGTAGAGGGGTGGGAAATGGTATAATGTAAAGGAAAAGCGAAACATATGTGGCATTCACTCTACTTCTACAGAGAAAATGATGCGTGAGCCGGTTCGGGTAGTATGCGCGCTTGTGTGCAGTACAAGGCGGAGCTGGAGCTCTGAAATCTTGCAAATTAAGTGGATCTAAAAGGTTAGAACCTAGTGTCGTTAAAGTAGATGGCCTAATCTAGTGGACTGATAAGAAAATGGTACTAACCGCATCTCTACAAACATACCTAATGCGCTGGTCAAGTTTTTCGGTATGCGCGCCTGTAGTGCAAGTACCATGCACGACTAGAATGCATATTTTTGGCGAATTACATAGATCCAAAAGGTTAGAACCTATTTGAGGGGTGGGGAATGGTATACTGTAAAGGAAGAGCGAAACATATGTGGTATTCACTGTATTTATACAGAGAAAATGATACGTGGGTCGGTTCGGGTAGTATGCACGTTTGTGTGCAGGTACAAGGCGGAGCTGGAGCTCTGAAATATTGCAAATTATATGGATCTAAAAGGTTAGAACCTATTCTTGTTGAAGTAGATGTCCTAATATAGTAGATTGGCAAGAAAATGGTACTAACTGCATCTCTATAAACATACGTAATGCGCTAGTCAGTTTGGTCAGTATGCGTGCCTGTAGTGTAGGTACCATGCACGACTAGAATGCCTATATTTGGCAAATTACATAGATCCAAAAGGTTGGAACTTGGTAGAGGGGTGGGGAATGGTATAACATAAAGGAAATGCGAAACATATGTGGTATTCACTGCATTTATACAGAGAGAATGATGCGTTAGTCAGTTTGGTCAGTATGCACGCTTGTGTGCAGGTACAAGGTGGAGCTGGAGCTCTGAAATATTGCAAATTATGTGGATCTAAAAGGTTAGAACCTAATGATGTTAAAGTAGATGGCCTAATCTAGTGGACGGACTAGAAAATGGTACTAACCGCATCTTTACAAACATACGTAATGCGCTGGTCAAGTTGGTCGGTACGCGCGCCTGTAGTGCAGGTACCATGCACGACTAGAATGCCTATTTTTGGCGAATTACATAGCTCCAAAGGGTTAGAACCTATTAGAGGGGTGGGGGAATGGTATACTGTAAAGGAAGAGCGAAACATATGTGGTATTCACTGTATTTATACAGAGAAAATGATACGTGGGTCGGTTCGGGTAGTATGCACGTTTGTGTGCAGGTACAAGGCGGAGGTGGAGCTCTAAAATATTGCAAATTATGTGGATCTAAAAGGTTAGTGCCTAGTCTTGTTAAAGTAGATGTCCTAATCTAGTGGACTGGCAAAAACATTGTACTAACTGCATCTCTATAAACATACGTAATGTGCTGGTCAGTTTGGTCAGTATACGTGCCTGTAGTGCAGGTACCATGCACGACTGGAATGCCTATATTTGGCGAATTACATAGATCCAAAAGGTTAGAACCTGGTAGAGGGGTTGGAAATGGTATAATGTAAATGAAAAGCGAAACATATGTGTCATTCACTCTACTTATACATAGAAAATGATGCGTGAGCCGGTTCGGGTAGTATGCACGCTTGTGTGCAGGTACAAGGCGGAGCTGAAGCTCTGAAATATTGCAAATTATGTGGATCTAAAAGGTTAGTACCTAGTCTTGTTAAAGTAGATGTCCTAATCTAGTGGACTGGCAAGAAAATGGTACTAACTGCATCTCTATAAACATACGTAATGTGCTGGTCAGTTTGGTCAGTATACGTGCCTGTAGTGCAGATACCATGCACGACTGGCATGCCTATATTTGGCGAATTACATAGATCCAAAAGGTTAGAACCTATTTGAGGGGTGGGGAATGGTATACTGTAAAGGAAGAGCGAAACATATGTGGTATTCACTGTATTTATACAGAGAAAATGATACGTGGGTCGGTTCGGGTAGTATGCACGTTTGTGTGCAGGTACAAGGCGGAGCTGGAGCTCTGAAATATTGCAAATTATATGGATCTAAAAGGTTAGAACCTATTCTTGTTGAAGTAGATGTCCTAATATAGTAGATTGGCAAGAAAATGGTACTAACTGCATCTCTATAAACATACGTAATGCGCTAGTCAGTTTGGTCAGTATGCGTGCCTGTAGTGTAGGTACCATGCACGACTAGAATGCCTATATTTGGCAAATTACATAGATCCAAAAGGTTGGAACTTGGTAGAGGGGTGGGGAATGGTATAACATAAAGGAAATGCGAAACATATGTGGTATTCACTGCATTTATACAGAGAGAATGATGCGTTAGTCAGTTTGGTCAGTATGCACGCTTGTGTGCAGGTACAAGGTGGAGCTGGAGCTCTGAAATATTGCAAATTATGTGGATCTAAAAGGTTAGAACCTAATGATGTTAAAGTAGATGGCCTAATCTAGTGGACGGACTAGAAAATGGTACTAACCGCATCTTTACAAACATACGTAATGCGCTGGTCAAGTTGGTCGGTACGCGCGCCTGTAGTGCAGGTACCATGCACGACTAGAATGCCTATTTTTGGCGAATTACATAGCTCCAAAGGGTTAGAACCTATTAGAGGGGTGGGGGAATGGTATACTGTAAAGGAAGAGCGAAACATATGTGGTATTCACTGTATTTATACAGAGAAAATGATACGTGGGTCGGTTCGGGTAGTATGCACGTTTGTGTGCAGGTACAAGGCGGAGGTGGAGCTCTAAAATATTGCAAATTATGTGGATCTAAAAGGTTAGTGCCTAGTCTTGTTAAAGTAGATGTCCTAATCTAGTGGACTGGCAAAAACATTGTACTAACTGCATCTCTATAAACATACGTAATGTGCTGGTCAGTTTGGTCAGTATACGTGCCTGTAGTGCAGGTACCATGCACGACTGGAATGCCTATATTTGGCGAATTACATAGATCCAAAAGGTTAGAACCTGGTAGAGGGGTTGGAAATGGTATAATGTAAATGAAAAGCGAAACATATGTGTCATTCACTCTACTTATACATAGAAAATGATGCGTGAGCCGGTTCGGGTAGTATGCACGCTTGTGTGCAGGTACAAGGCGGAGCTGAAGCTCTGAAATATTGCAAATTATGTGGATCTAAAAGGTTAGTACCTAGTCTTGTTAAAGTAGATGTCCTAATCTAGTGGACTGGCAAGAAAATGGTACTAACTGCATCTCTATAAACATACGTAATGTGCTGGTCAGTTTGGTCAGTATACGTGCCTGTAGTGCAGATACCATGCACGACTGGCATGCCTATATTTGGCGAATTACATAGATCCAAAAGGTTAGAACCTGGTAGAGGGGTGGGAAATGGTATAATGTAAATGAAAAGCGAAACATATGTGTCATTCAATCTACTTATACATAGAAAATGATGCGTGAGCCGGTTCGGGTAGTATGCACGCTTGTGTGCAGGTACAAGGCGGAGCTGGACCTCTGAAATCTTGCAAATTAAGTGGATCTAAAAGGTTAGAACCTAGTATTGTTAAAGTAGATGTCCTAATGTAGTGGACGGGCAAGAAAATGGTACTAACTGCATCTCTACAAACATACGTAATGCGCTGGTCAGCTTGGTCGATATGCGTGCATGTTGTGCAGGCACCATGCACGACTGGAATACCTATATTTGGCAAATTACATAGATCCAAAAGGTTAGAACCTGGTAGAGGGGTGGGGTGCGGAGATAACTGCTACAACGGGAGCTAGACTACGGGCTAGGCACGGGTGCTCGTGTGATATCTGCGTTCGTTCGTTCCTTAGTCGTTTCCTTGTGCGCACACGACTTGCTAGTTCACGGGGAAAGTTGGCAAGAGTTCCACTAGGAAAAGTTGAGAACAATGGTACACACAATATGGCATAGCAAGACTACATCAAAGCTTGGATGCAAGTCGGTCGACTGCCAGCGCCGCATGGTCGACCGCGTGCCAGCACGACTTGGCGTGAATCACACCTCTCAGCCTCGACGTGCCTCCCGCACTGCTGCCGACTTGGCCACCTCCGGCGTTGACGCCCACGTCGAGGCCGCCTTCGTTGGTCACCGGTCGAGGAGAAGCAGGACGAGAAGGGGGGTGCTCCGCTGCCCACACAGAGCGGAGTCCAGCCTCGACGACTGCCCAGGGTATCACCCCGTACTCTTGGGCCTCATGGCGCTCCTCGCATCCTCCAGCCGTCCCTCCAGGGTGTCCATCACCTTGGTGTCTCCTACGCGCACGTTAGGGACTGTACGGATGCCGGCCTACGAACAACTTAGGTAAGTGACCTCTACGTCGACCTGACTGAAAGGTAAGTCGTGTGCCGTCCACGCTCACTGCACCATGCGGAGATAACTGCTGCAACGGGAGCTAGACTACGGGCTAGGCACGGGTGCTCGTGTGATCTCTGCGTTCGTTCGTTCCTTAGTCGTTTCCTTGTGCGCACACTACTTGCTAGTTCACGGGGAAAGTTGGCAAGAGTTCCACTAGGAAAAGTTGAGAACAATGGTACACACAAGATGGCATAGCAAGACTTCATCAAAGCTTGGATGCAAGTCGGTCGACTGCCAGCGCAGCATGGTCGACCGCGTGCCAGCACAACTTGGTCGACCGCGCTCCAGCAGTGCAGAGTCGCGGCTTGCCAACGCTGCTGGTCGACGGAGTGCTAGCACTGCAAGTTGACGGCGGCCAGCGTTGCTCCCGCATGACAGTATCGCACCGGCTTCGCAGGTGCGCACAGACGATTGGCATGCTGTGCCCTTCTGGTCGACCAGCTCCATGTCGACCAGCCGTCCTGGTCGACCAGCTCCTCGTCGACCAACGCAGTTGTCAGCCGACCACCCAAGTCGGCTACCCGAAGTCGGCGTCACGAAGTTGACGCCCAGCTACTCGACGCCCAACTGCTCGGCGTCCTGAGTCGAGGTCGACGTCGGCCCCTCCTTCGTCGACCACCAGGTCAGGTCGACCACCGCAAGTCGACCAGCAGATCTGGTCGACCAACCACCAGGTCGACCAGCATGTCCTGTCAGCCGACCACCCAAGTCGGCTGCCCCCAAGTTGCCGTCCCCAAGTTGACGTCCTCCGCAGGTCGACTTCCCAAGTCGACCTCCCTGAAGTCGGCGCCCGTGCAGTGGTCTCCGAGCAGGTCGACTTCCTCGTCAACCACCTCGCCCACTGCTGCAGGTCGGCTGCTCCCCTCACACCCGACCACGAAGTCGGCTCCGCCCAAGCGAGGACGGGGCCAACACACAACTCCCGTTGACATGGGGAATGGTATAAAGTAAAGGAACAGCGAAACATATGTGGTATTCACTCTACTTTTACAGAGAAAATGATGCGTGAGCCGGTTCGGTTAGTATGCATGCTTGTGTGCAGGTACAAGGCGGAGCTGGTGCTCTGGAATCTTGCAAATTATGTGGATCTAAAAGGTTAGAACCTAGAATTGTTAAAGTAGATGTCCTAATCTAGTGGACGCGCACCTCTCCATCTCGGTGCCCTTGCCGCTCGGCCTCGCGTGACCCGTGACCCGCCTGAAAACGCACCTCCATCTCTGCGCTGTATTGGGCCCCCCGCACCTCTCCATCTCGGTGCCCTTGCCGCTCGGCCTCGCGTGACCCGTGACCCGCCTGAAAACGCACCTCCATCTCTGCGCTGTATTGGGCCCCCCGCACCTCTCCATCTCGGTGCCCTTGCCGCTCGGCCTCGCGTGACCCGTGACCCGCCTGAAAACGCACCTCCATCTCTGCGCTGTATTGGGCCCCCCGCACCTCTCCATCTCGGTGCCCTTGCCGCTCGGCCTCGCGTGACCCGTGACCCGCCTCAAAACGCACCTCCATCTCTCCGCTGTATTGGGCCCCCCGCACCTCTCCATCTCGGTGCCCTTGCCGCTCGGCCTCGCGTGACCCGTGACCCGCCTCAAAACGCACCTCCATCTCTCCGCTGTATTGGGCCCCCCGCACCTCTCCATCTCGGTGCCCTTGCCGCTCGGCCTCGCGTGACCCGTGACCCGCCTCAAAACGCACCTCCATCTCTCCGCTGTATTGGGCCCCCCGCACCTCTCCATCTCGGTGCCCTTGCCGCTCGGCCTCGCGTGACCCGTGACCCGCCTCAAAACGCACCTCCATCTCTCCGCTGTATTGGGCCCCCCGCACCTCTCCATCTCGGTGCCCTTGCCGCTCGGCCTCGCGTGACCCGTGACCCGCCTCAAAACGCACCTCCATCTCTCCGCTGTATTGGGCCCCCCGCACCTCTCCATCTCCGTGCCCTTGCCGCTCGGCCTCGCGTGACCCGTGACCCGCCTCAAAACGCACCTCCATCTCTCCGCTGTATTGGGCCCCCCGCACCTCTCCATCTCCGTGCCCTTGCCGCTCGGCCTCGCGTGACCCGTGACCCGCCTCAAAACGCACCTCCATCTCTCCGCTGTATTGGGCCCCGTTCTCCCGCTTTCCATCAGCCCGCCCCGTTCTTCCGCTTTCCATCGCCCCGCCCCGTTCTCCCGCTTTCCATCGCCCCGCCCCATTCTCCCGCTTTCCATCAGCCCGCCCCATTCTCCCGCTTTCCATCGCCCCGCCCCGTTCTCCCGCTTTCCATCGCCCCGCCCCATTCTCCCGCTTTCCATCAGCCCGCCCCGTTCTTCCGCTTTCCATCGCCCCGCCCCGTTCTCCCGCTTTCCATCGCCCCGCCCCATTCTCCCGCTTTCCATCAGCCCGCCCCGTTCTTCCGCTTTCCATCGCCCCGCCCCGTTCTCCCGCTTTCCATCGCCCCGCCCCATTCTCCCGCTTTCCATCAGCCCGCCCCGTTCTTCCGCTTTCCATCACCCCGCCCCGTTCTCCCGCTTTCCATCGCCCCGCCCCATTCTCCCGCTTTCCATCGCCCCGCCCCGTTCTTCCGCTTTCCATCACCCCGCCCCGTTCTCCCGCTTTCCATCGCCCCGTCCCGTTCTCCCGCTTTCCATCGCCCCGCCCCGTTCTCCCGCTTTCCATCAGCCCGCCCCATTCTCCCTCTTTCCATCGCCCCGTCCCGTTCTCCCGCTTTCCATCGCCCCGCCCCATTCTCCCTCTTTCCATCGCATCGCCCCATTCTCCCTCTTTCCATCGCCCTGCCCCATTCTCCCTCTTTCCATCACCCCGCCCCATTCTCCCTCTTTCCATCGCATCGCCCCATTCTCCCGCTTTCCATCACCCCGCCCCATTCTCCCGCTTTCCATCACCCCGCCCCATTCTCCCGCTTTCCATCACCCCGCCCCATTCTCCCGCTTTCCATCACCCCGCCCCATTCTCCCGCTTTCCATCACCCCGCCCCATTCTCCCGCTTTCCATCACCCCGCCCCATTCTCCCTCTTTCCATCACCCCGCCCAATTCTCCCGCTTTCCATCGCCCCGCCCCATTCTCCCTCTTTCCACCACCCCGCCCCATTCTCCCGCTTTCCATCACCCCGCCCCATTCTCCCTCTTTCCATCACCCCGCCCCATACTCCCTCTTTCCATCACCCCGCCCTATTCACCCCGCCCTATTCTCCCTCTTTCCATCACCTCGCCCCATTCTCCCTCTTTCCATCACCCCGCCCCGTTCTCCCTCTTTCCATCATCCCACCACGTTCTCCCGCTTTCCATCACCCCGCCCTGTTCTCCCGCTTTCCATCATCCCGCACCGTTCTCCCGCTTCCATCACCTCGCCCCGTTCTCCCGCTTTCCATCACCCCGCCCCGTTCTCCCGCTTTCCATCACCCCGCCCCATTCTCCCTCTTTCCATCACCCCGCCCATTCTCCCGCTTTCCATCACCCCGCTCCATTCTCCCTCTTTCCATCGCCCCGCCCCATTCTCCCTCTTTCCATCACCCAGCCCCATTCTCCCTCTTTCCATCACCCCGCCCCATTCTCCCTCTTTCCATCACCCCGCCCCATTCTCCCGCTTTCCATCAACCGGCCCCATTCTCCCGCTTTCCATCACCCCGCCCCATTCTCCCGCTTTCCATCACCCCGCCCCGTTCTCCCTCCTTCCATCACCCCGCCCCATTCTCCCGCTTTCCATCGCCTCGCCCCTGTCTCCCGCTTTCCATCACCCCGCCCCATTCTCCCGCTTTCCATCACCCCACCCCATTCTCCCTCATTCCATCGCCCCGCCCCATTCTCCCTCACCAAAACGTTCGGCGTCTGCGATGACGGCTGTGTCTGCGACAGATTGTAACGAAGCGCATGGATCCCTATAGGCGTAGGGAAAAGCATCGAATGGCCTGAATGTTGTTGCATATTAGGGTGGCCCATGCTTAAATACACCTACCAGAGCAAGTTCAGCTTTGTTTGTGCGCACCAGGCGGAAGGTTTAGATTGAAGGAAGGTAACTGTTAGGAAGGGGTGTAGAAGGTGTGAAACGGGATAAGAGCGGTTGAGATAAAAAGGGGGAAAGACACCGAAGGGCGAAATGTGAAACCAATCAACCCCAACCCCGAGCCGTACATTTAGAAATGTACAGCCTGGGGTTGGGTAAGGTCACTCACCTCCAACCCCTCGATGCTTTCTCGTTGTTATTCTCTCGAACTAGTGAAAGTTGCTATCTTCGCTCTAGCACACTGAGGCACGTCACTAAGAGGGAACCTACGGGGTGAGGGACCAAACACTTTCATAACAACGAGAAAGGCATCGAAGGGTTGGATATGGATAAATAAAGAATTGCGCTGGGGTAGGATGTTCAGCCGACAGGAAGAGGAACGGCCGCGACGCGAGCCGTCACGTGAACGAGGGCGATCCTTGGAGCGATCGCCACGTCGGCCGGCCTTCCGCGCGGATCGAACCCCCCTTGAAAGGGACCGTCGAGAAGAAGGATCGACGGGCGGGGGAGCAGGAGACGGATAGAGACGCATGGCTGCGAGAGAGAGTGCGCGGAATTGACGAGGATCGCGGAAACCATCGCGACGCAGGAGTGTTCCGCTCTCCGGAACCTCGAGAACGGCGCCGTGACGAGAGAGGTCGTTGGCGTGGCTTCGGGCAACTTCCCCGGGGGCGGGGAGGAGACATTGGCGGCGATGACCAAAAGGGGGTCTCGCAGGAAAACACGGCACAAGAAGTGACATGGGAGCAAGGCGCGGAAGAGGATGAGGAGAACCAAGGGCTGCAGGTCGAGGAGGCCGATGAAGGAGATGTCGGCAACGATCACACAGCGGGGATGGGTGAGGCTGAGCCTGTGCAGGCAAACGAGGACGCGGGAGCAAGCCAGGCGGCAGCCGAGGAACCGAGGGCCGCGCTGCGGGAATCTCACGGTCGAGACGTCAGCTGTGGGGGAGAGCAGCGCGCGGAGGGCTCACTTCGCCAGGAGCAAGTGACACCAGACAAGGGCGTTCGAGACGCACTGGCGCGAAGACAGCTTGGCAAAGGGAAGGTGGACCGGTCGCGCACGCCGGACAAGGATCAACACCACGAAGAATGGCGCGTAGGCGACTTCCGCCCGTATGATAGGCAACACGAGCAGGGAGGCTGGAGCGGCGGCAGCATGCGTTCGCCGGAGCAGAGGCAGGCGCGCGGCGGCAGATGGAATGATTAGCCGCGCTCACATGAGCCGCACGGGCGCCCGGAAGGAAGGCACGAAGAGGAGCTTTGGTCGCACACACTGCTTGCTAGTTCACGGGGCAAGTTGGCAAGAGTTTCACTAGAGAAAGTTGACAACAATGGTACAAAGAAGTTGCGATGCTCTCCCCGGACGCCCAAGAGCGTCGCGATGCTCTCCCCGGACGCCCCAGAGCGTCGCGATGCTCTCCCCGGACGCCCCAGAGCATCGCGATGCTCTCCCCGGACGCCCCAGAGCGTCGCGATGCTCTCCCCGGACGCCCCAGAGCGTCGCGATGCTCTCTCCGGACGCCCCAGAGCGTTGCGATGCTCTCCCCGGACGCCCCAGAGCATCGCGATGCTCTCCCCGGACGCCCCAGAGCGTCGCTATGCTCTCCCCGGACGCCCCAGAGCGTCGCGATGCTCTCCCCGGACGCCCCAGAGCATCGCAATGCTCTCCCCAGACGCCCCAGAGCGTCGCGATGCTCTCCCCGGACGCCCCAGAGCGTCGCGATGCTCTCCCCGGACGCCCCAGAGCGTCGCGATGCTCTACACGGACGCCCCAGAGCGTCGTGATGCTCTCCCCAGCCGCCCCAGAGCGTCGTGATGCTCTCCCCAGCCGCCCCAGAGCGTCGCGATACTCTCCCCGGACGCCCCAGAGCGTCGCGATGCTCTCCCCGGACGCCCCAGAGCGTTGCGATGCTCTCCCAGGATGCCCCAGAGCGTCGCGATGCTCTCCCCGGACGCCCCAGAGCGTCGCTATGCTCTTCCCGGACGCCCCAGAGCGTCGCGATGCTCTCCCCGGAAGCCCCAAAGCATCGCGATGCTCTCCCAGGACGCCCCTGAGCGTCGCGATGCTCTCCCCGGACGCCCCAGAGCGTCGCGATGCTCTACCAGGACGCCCAGAGCGTCGCGATGCTCTCCCCAGCCGCCCCAGAGCGTCGCGATGCTCTCCCCGGACGCCCCAGAGCGTCGCGATGCTCTCCCCGGACGCCCCAGAGCGTTGCGATGCTCTCCCCGGACGCCCCAGAGCATCGCCATGCTCTCCCCGGACGCCCCAGAGCGTTGCGATGCTCTCCCCGGACACCCCAGAGCATCGCGATGCTCTCCCCAGACGCCCCAGAGCATCGCGATGCTCTCCCCGGACGCCCCAGAGCGTCGCGATGCTCTCCCCGGACGCCCCAGAGCGTCGCGATGCTCTCCCCAGTTGCCCCAGAGCGTCGTGATGCTCTCCCCGGACGCCCTAGAGCGTCGTGATGCTCTCCCCGGACGCCCCACAGCGTCGCGATGCTCTCCCCGGACGCCCCAGAGCGTTGCGATGCTCTCCCCGGACGCGCCAGAGCATCGCGATGCTCTCCCCGGACGCCCCAGAGCGTCGCTTTGCTCTCCCCGGACGCCCCAGAGCGTCGCGATGCTCTCCCCGGACGCCCCAGAGCATCGCGATGCTCTCCCCGGACGCCCCAGAGCGTCGCGATGCTCTCCCCGGACGCCCCAGAGCGTCGCGATGCTCTCCCCGGACGCCCCAGAGCGTTGTGATGCTCTACCCGGACGCCCCAGAGCGTCGCGATGCTCTCCCCAGCCGCCCTAGAGCGTCGTGATGCTCTCCCCAGCCGCCCCAGAGCGTCGCGATGCTCTCCCCGGACGCCCCAGAGCGTCGCGATGCTCTCCCCGGACGCCCCAGAGCGTTACGATGCTCTCCCCGGACGCCCCAGAGCGTCCCGATGCTCTCCCAGGATGCCCCAGAGCGTCGCGATGCTCTCCCCGGACGCCCCAGAGCGTCGCTATGCTCTTCCCGGACGCCCCAGAGCGTCGCGATGCTCTCCCCGGAAGCCCCAAATAATCGCGATGCTCTCCCCGGACGCCCCTGAGCGTGGCGATGCTCTCCCCGGACGCCCCAGAGCGTCGCGATGCTCTACCAGGACGCCCAGAGTGTCGCGATGCTCTCCCTAGCCGCCCCAGAGCGTCGCGATGCTATCCCCGGACGCCCCAGAGCGTCGCGATGCTCTCCCTGGACGCCCCAGAGCGTCGCGATGCTCTCCCCGGACGCCCCAGAGCGTCGCCATGCTCTCCCCGGACGCCCCAGAGCGTCGCGATGCTCTCCCCGGACGCCCCAGAGCATCGCGATGCTCTCCCCAGACGCCCCAGAGCATCGCGATGCTCTCCCCGGACGCCCCAGAGCGTCGCGATGCTCTCCCCGGACGCCCCAGAGCGTCGCGATGCTCTCCCAGACGCCCCAGAGCGTCGCGATGCTCTCCCCGGACGCCCCAGAGCGTCGCGATGCTCTCCCCGGACGCCCCAGAGCGTCGCGATGCTCTCCCCGGACGCCCCAAAGCATCGCGATGCTCTCCCCGGACGCCCCAGAGCGTCGCGATGCTCTTCCCGGACGCCCCAGAGCGTCGCGATGCTCTCCCCGGACGCCCCAGAGCGTCGCGATGCTCTCCCCGGACGCCCCAGAGCGTCGCGATGCTCTCCCCAGCAGCCCGAGAGCGTCGTGATGCTCTCCCCGGACACCCCAGAGCGTCGCGATGCTCTCCCCGGACGCCCCAGAGCGTCGCGATGCTCTCCCCGGACGCCCAAGAGCGTCGCGATGCTCTCCTCGGACGCCCCAGAGCGTCGTGATGCTCTCCCCGGACGCCCCAGAGCGTCGCGATGCTCTCCGCGGACGCCCCAGAGCTCGCTATGCTCTCCCCGGACGCCCCAGAGCGTCGCGATGCTCTCCCCGGACGCCCCAGAGCTCGCTATGCTCTCCCCGGACGCCCCAGAGCTCGCTATGCTCTCCCCGGACGCCCCAGAGCGTTGCGATGCTCTACCCGGACGCCCCAGAGCGTCGCGATGCTCTCCCCAGCCGCCCCAAAGCGTCGTGATGCTCTCCCCAGCCGCCCCAGAGCGTCGCGATGCTCTCCCCGGACGCCCCAGAGCGTCGCGATGCTCTCCCCGGACGCCCCAGAGCGTTGCGATGCTCTCCCCGGACGCCCCAGAGCGTCCCGATGCTCTCCCAGGATGCCCCAGAGCGTCGCGATGCTCTCCCCGGACGCCCCAGAGCGTCGCTATGCTCTTCCCGGACGCCCCAGAGCGTCGTGATGCTCTCCCCAGAAGCCCCAAATAATCGCGATGCTCTCCCCGGACGCCCCAGAGCGTCGCGATGCTCTCCCCGGACGCCCCAGAGCGTCGCGATGCTCTACCAGGACGCCCAGAGCGTCGCGATGCTCTCCCCAGCCGCCCCAGAGCGTCGCGATGCTCTCCCCGGACGCCCCAGAGCGTCGCGATGCTCTCCCCGGACGCCCCAGAGCGTCGCCATGCTCTCCCCGGACGCCCCAGAGCGTCGCGATGCTCTCCCCGGACGCCCCAGAGCATCGCGATGCTCTCCCCAGACGCCCCAGAGCATCGCGATGCTCTCCCTGGACGCCCCAGAGCGTCGCGATGCTCTCCCCAGACGCCCCAGAGCGTCGCGATGCTCTCCCCGGACGCCCCAGAGCGTCGCGATGCTCTCCCCGGACGCCCCAAAGCATCGCGATGCTCTCCCCGGACGACCCAGAGCGTCGCGATGCTCTTCCCGGACGCCCCAGAGCGTCGCGATGCTCTCCTCGGACGCCCCAGAGCGTCGCGATGCTCTCCCCGGACGCCCCAGAGCACCGCGATGCTCAACCCGGACGCCCCAGAGCGTCGCGATGCTCTCCCCAGTAGCCCGAGAGCGTCGTGATGCTCTCCCCGGACACCCCAGAGCGTCGCGATGCTCTCCCCGGACGCCCCAGAGCGTCGCGATGCTCTCCCCGGACGCCCAAGAGCGTCGCGATGCTCTCCTCGGACGCCCCAGAGCGTCGTGATGCTCTCCCCGGACGCCCCAGAGCGTCGCGATGCTCTCCGCGGACGCCCCAGAGATCGCTATGCTCTCCCCGGACGCCCCAGAGCGTCGCGATGCTCTCCCCGGACGCCCCAAAGCTCGCTATGCTCTCCCCGGACGCCCCAGAGCTCGCTATGCTCTCCTCGGACGCCCCAGAGCGTCGCGATGCTCTACCCGGACGCCCCAGAGCGTCGCGATGCTCTCCCCAGCCGCCCCAGAGCATCGTGATGCTCTCCCCAGCCGCCCCAAAGCATCGCGATGCTCTCCCCGGACGCCCCAGAGCGTCGTGATGCTCTCCCCGGACGCCCCAGAGCGTCGCGATGCTCTCCCCGGACGCCCCAGAGCGTCGCGATGCTCTCCCCCGACGCCCAAGAGCGTCGCGATGCTCTCCCCGGACGCCCCAGAGCGTCGCGATGCTCTCCCCGGACGCCCCAGAGCGTCGCGATGCTCTCCCCGGACGCCCCAGAGCGTCGTTATGCTCTCCCTGGACGCCCCAGAGCGTCGCGATGCTCTCCCCGGACGCCCCAGAGCATCGCGATGCTCTCCCCGGACGCCCCAGAGCGTCGCGATGCTCTCCCCGGACGCCCCAGAGCGTCGCGATGCTCTCCCCGGACGCCCTAGAGCGTCGCGATGCTCTACCCGAACGTCCCAGAGCGTCGCGATGCTCTCCCCAGCCGCCCCAGAGCAACGTGATGCTCTCCCCGCACGCCCCAGAGCGTTGCGATGCTCTCCCCGGACGCCCCAGAGCGTCGCGATGCTCTCCCCTGACGCCCCAGAGCGTCGCGATGCTCTCCCCGGACGCCCCAGAGCATTGTGATGCTCTCCCCGGATGCCCCAGAGCGTCGCGATGCTCTCCCCGGACGCCCCAGAGCGTCGCTATGCTCTCCCCGGACGCCCCAGAGCGTCGCGATGCTCTCTCCAAACGCCCCAGAGCATTGCGATGCTCTCCCCGGACGCCCCAGAGCGTCGCGATGCTCTCCCTAGACGCCCCAGCGCGTCGCGATGCTCTCCCCGGACGCCCCAGAGCGTCACGATGCTCTCCCCGGACGCCCCAGAGCGTCGCGATGCTCTCCCTGGACGCCCCGAAGCGTCGCCATGCTCTCCCCAGACGCCCCAGAGCGTCGCCATGCTCTCCCCGGACGCCCCAGAGCGTCGCGATGCTCTCCCCGGACGCCCCAGAGCATCGCGATGCTCTCCCCAGACGCCCCAGAGCGTCGCGATGCTCTCCCCGGACGCCCCAGAGCGTTGCGATGCTCTCCCCAGACACCCCTGAGCGTCGCGATGCTCTCCCCGGACGCCCCAGAGCGTCGCGATGCTCTCCCCGGCGGCCCAGAGCGTCGCGATGCTCTCCCCGGACGCCCCAAAGCATCGCGATGCTCTCCCCGGACGCCCCAGAGCGTCGCGATGCTCTTCCCGGACGCCCCAGAGCGTCGCGATGCTCTCCCCGGACGCCCCAGAGCGTCGCGATGCTCTCCCCGGACGCCGCAGAGCACCGCGATGCTCAACCCGGACGCCCCAGAGCGTCGCGATGCTCTCCCCAGCCGCCCGAGAGCGTCGTGATGCTCTCCCCGGACACCCTAGAGCGTCGCGATGCTCTCCCCGGACGCCCCAGAGCGTCGCGATGCTCTCCCCGGACGCCCCAGAGCGTCGCGATGCTCTCCCCAAACGCCCCAGAGCATTGCGATGCTCTCCCCGGACGCAGCGTCGCGATGCTCTCCCCAGACGCCCCAGCGCGTCGCGATGCTCTCCCCGGACGCCCCAGAGCGTCGCGATGCTCTCCCCGGACGCCCCAGAACGTCGCGATGCTCTCCCTGGACGCCCCAGAGCGTCACCATGCTCTCCCCGGACGCCCCAGAGCGTCGCGATGCTCTCCCCGGACGCCCCAGAGCATCGCGATGCTCTCCCCAGACGCCCCAGAGCGTCGCGATGCTCTCCCCCGACGCCCCAGAGCGTCGCGATGCTCTCCCCGGACGCCCCAGAGCGTCGCGATGCTCTCCCCAGACGCCCCTGAGCGTCGCGATGCTCTCCCCGGACGCCCCAGAGCGTCGCGATGCTCTCCCCGGCGCCCCAGAGCGTCGCGATGCTCTCCCCGGACGCCCCAAAGCATCGCGATGCTCTGCCCGGACGCCCCAGAGCGTCGCGATGCTCTTCCCGGACGCCCCAGAGCGTCGCGATGCTCTCCCCGGACGCCCCAGAGCGTCGCGATGCTCTCCCCGGACGCCCCCGAGCACCGCGGTGCTCTCCCCAGCCGCCCGAGAGCGTCGTGATGCTCTCCCCGGACACCCCAGAGCGTCGCGATGCTCTCCCCGGACGCCCCAGAGCGTCGCGATGCTCTTCCCGGACGCCCAAGAGCGTCGCGATGCTCTCCTCGGACGCCCCAGGGCGTCGTGATGCTCTCCCCGGACGCCCCAGAGCGTCGCGATGCTCTTCCCGGACGCCCCAGAGCTCGCTATGCTCTCCCCGGACGCCCCAGAGCGTCGCGATGCTCTCCCCGGACGCCCCAGAGCGTCGCGATGCTCTACCCGGACGCCCCAGAGCGTCGCGATGCTCTCCCGGACGCCCCAAAGCGTCGCGATGCTCTCCCCGGACGCCCCAGAGCATCGTGATGCTCTCCCCGGACGCCCCAGGGCGTCGCGATGCTCTCCCCGGACGCCCCAGAGCATCGCGATGCTCTCCCCGGACGCCCCAGAGCATCGCGATGCTCTCCCCGGACGCCCCAGAGCGTCGCGATGCTCTCCCCGGACGCCCCAGAGCGTCGCGATGCTCTCCCCGGACGCCCCAGAGCGTCGCGATGCTCTCCCTGAACGCCCCAGAGCATCGCGACGCTCTCCCCGAACGCCCCAGAGCGTCGCGATGCTCTCCCCGGACGCCCCAGAGCGTCGCGATGCTCTCCCCGGACGCCCCAGAGCGTCGCGATGCTCTCCCCGGACGCCCCAGAGCGTCGCGATGCTCTCCCGGACGCCCCAAAGCGTCGCGATGCTCTCCCCGGACGCCCCAGAGCGTCGTGATTGTTGGTGCAACCCTACGGTTTGCATTCGGCTTGTTGTCCGTGTGCGTGCATGCGTGTGTGCATGGAATGGTATGAGGGCATGAAATAATATATATTTGATGTTTACAATAGTGTGTGTATGATGAAGCATGATTTTGAATGTGTGCGTCGAGTCAATAGCGAGTTATCGCTAGTCGCGTGTCACGTCGTCGTTTGCGTGTCGTGTGCGGTTTTCTATTTTGTCGTGTGTGGAACGTTCGGCGTGTCGCAGGTGTGCGCAGCAGACTTCCAAGAACTCAAGGAAGAATTTACCTTGAAGAACCAGAGCCTTGGTTTCAAGATTCAAGTTATTTCGAAGCTCTCCAAAAGGGTAAACTTTAAGATAGTGAGAATAGTTGCATTACTTTGTGTAGTGTAACATTTCTCTTGGTGTAGGCCCTTGTGGAGGGTAGTTTCGAGACCCTTCGTGGTTGGGGACAGTGTGGCACTGTTCCACATCACTGTACCTCGGCTCTTGGGGTTTGTAGGAGCTGGGAGTCATTCCCAACTCGTAACTCTTCCTATCTTGTGTTCTAAGACTATAGTGGCTGCCATAGTACCGTTCGTTAAAACCGATGCTGTGTCGTCAATTCTTTATGAAATCGTGCAATCTAAATTGCTTATTGTAGGCGACGTCAAGACGCTCCAGATCCAATTTGAATCAAGTCATTTTCAGCTGTGAGCAGAACGCTATCAACGTTTGAAGCCGCTGTGCAGAAATCCGTCTGTGCACTCTATCTTTCGTTTTAGGCACATTCAAGGCTATTGTGACTATAACAAGTGGTATCAGAGCCCCTTGGAGCAGTTTCGACAATGGATGGACCTGAGGAAAGGGGTGGCAGAGTTGCTGGTGGCAGTGGAGAAGCCCAAGCTCAAGGCCAACCCCGTGATTCAGCCATGGCGCCCATGCAACCAAGTCTTGGCCCACCTAGGGATGAGCCTAGGGTGTTTGGGCTTGACAAGTTCAACGGTGACAACTTTGCTGAATGGTCCTTCAAGATGGAGAACATCTTTGACCACTATGACCTGCTGGAGGTGATGGAAGGAACGGAGAAGCGCCCCGAGAACGACCCGGAGAAGAGCCCGTGGGTGCGGAAGAGCGCACAAGGCTATCTCCTACTTGGGCAAGCGTTGGGGAGCAGCCAGATCCGTCACATCAAACCATTCCAGCGTGAACCAGAGAAGGGACCAAAGGCATGGGCTGCTCTCAAGGGTGTACATGCTCCTGCAACAGCGGCGGTAGCGGTGGTGTTGGAACGGCAAATGGCGGCACTACGAATTGAAGAAGACGAAGCGGTTGAAGAAGGGGTGCAGAAATTCTTCGACTTGTTGACGCGGCTTGAGGGAGCTGATTTGAACTACAGTGAGCTCCAAAAGAAGACCAAGTTGCTGGCCTTACTCCCAGAGTCATGGTCCTCTCTCATCATCAACCTCAATCGTGACTTGCCCCACCTCTCGCTCGAAGACGTGAAGCGAGCGATCCTTCAAGAGGATTTCCGTCGCCGTGAGTTGGCGAGTGCGGATGGCGCCGGGGCAGCAAGCATCGGCCGTGGATATGGCCGTGGAAAGGGCAGAGGACGAGGAGGAGGAAGGTTTGGAGGCAGCAACTTCAACGGAGGCCGCGGGAGTAGCGGATACGGCAATGACAACAAGAACAACGGACGCGGTCGCGGACGGTTCGACGGCGAGTGTCATTTTTGCCACAAGAGCGGACACATGTGGCGCGATTGCTACAAACTCCCTGATGGATGGACTCCTGCTCAAGGCCAAGAGGGTAGAGGAGCAGGAGGAGGGAGAGGAAGAGGCCGTGGAGGCCGTGGCGGTCGCGGAGGTGGTGCTGCAAGTATGAAGAGTGCCGGCAACGAGAGCGAGTCGAGGGACGATCGCTTCCCGGGTCAATTCTTCTTCGTGTCCACGCAAGCACCGGCTGGTCCAGAGAATGATGAAAGCTTTGAGGAGCCAGCAGCTGTGGGGAAGGTCACCCTACACTCCCTGGACTATTGGGTGATCGATAGCGGCGCTACCTATAGCATGACACCTCGTGCGGACTTGCTCACCGAACTTGAGCCGTCACCGGTGAAGCATGTGACATCGGCTTTGGGGCAGCGAGCAGAGGTGAAAGGCATGGGCAAGGCCATGTTCAAGGGTGCTTATGGGAAGATGGTGGGCCTCAAGAACGTGCTTTGGGTGCCCAACCTTGCTGCCAACCTGATTTCCGTGCGGCGGTTGCAAAAGGCCGGCATGGACACGAGCTCGAAGGGAGCTAAGACCTACACCGCGAGGCTTGGCGAGCGGATTCTTTGGGACCTTCACGAGGATAGGGATGTCTACAACGAGATGTGGCAAATCCCTGTGGTCCCCATGCCTAAGGAGAGGCAAGTGGCAGCAAGCATCAGCACCAAGGGTGAAGCGGTTGGTAGCGGCGATGGCGCGAACGGTCGCGCTAAGGAGATAAAGTCCAAGAAGTGCAATCTTGGAGGGACCAGCAAGCTCGGTGAACATGAGGAGAGTGGTGCAGCAGCTCAGAAGCAGCACAAGGGTGAGGAGAACCCCAAGGCAGCAGCGGAGGAGGAGTACGGAGAGAACATGTGGGGCACTATTGCGAGTGCGGCATTCTCCAATCCGACTTCGGCTACGGGGGAGTGTGATTGGCTCACCTTGCATCGGCGAATGGGGCATGTGGCCCTGCCCATCTTGCAGCAGCTAGTGAAGAATGAGATGGTTGCTGGCATACGTGTGAAGGGGGAGCCCGATGAGGTACTTGGCTGCCCGACGTGCATGCAAGCCAAGTTCACCCGTTTCCCGTTCTCTAGTTCGGAGGCAACGGCTAAGGCACCACTTGATGAGGTGGTGATGGACGTGGTGGGCCCCCTGAAGCTTGGAGCTGCTGGAGCTGAGTACTTTTTCACTATTGTGGACGTCTACACTCGCATGACTTGGGTGTACGTGCTGTCCAAGAAGAGTGACGTGGCTGAAACGGTGAAGACCGATTGGTTGCCGATGGTGGAGCGGCAACAAGACCGGCTAGTGAAGGCAATCCGCACCGATCGAGGGGGAGAGTTCTTGAGCAAGGAGTTTGGATTGTGGCTGAAGAAGAATGGCATAAGGCACTCCCTTACCATGCCATACTCCCCTGCAATGAACGGCATCGCCGAGCGAGCGAACCGGACAATCACGGAGACGGCGCGCGGGTTGCTCATTGAAGCCGGGCTACCCGAATATTTCTGGCCTGATGCGGTGCGGAGTGCATGTGTGGCCAAGAACAGAGCTTTGACTCATGTGGGAGCAGACAAATGGGTGCCCTATGTGGAGTGGATTGGAAGGAAGCCAAAGGTGGATATGCTTCGGGTGTTCGGGTGCATGTGCATGGCACTCGTGCCTAAGCATCTTCGGCACAACAAGCTCGGTGCCAAGGCGATATGGGCTGTGCACTTGGGCATGGCTCAAAACAGCAAGGGGTGGCTTCTTTGGGACCCATTCACCAAGAAATTCTTGGTGAGCAGGGACTGCAAATTCATGGAGAATCTGATGTACAAGGATTGGAAGGCGGAGAATGAGGCGAAGATAGGCGTGCGGTTGGGGGACGTGAAGAGTTCCGGTTTGGAGCATGTGGAGCTGCCCTTGGAGCTGAGCAGCGGCAGCACCACCACAAGGCAATCTTCCCTTGTGAATGGGGGAGAGGAGGCCAAGGATGCAGAGGAAGTAGAGGAGGAGGTTCAGCAAGTGAGCGAGCGTGCACCGACACTTCCTTCTCGCACTACGAGTGCTCCACGGATCCGAGTCACCCCGCAGCAACGCCAAGGCCTTCATGTCCCTGCAGCTGAGGAAGAAGGAAGGGGCAAAAGGAGAATCCAAGCCCCAAATAGGCTGACCTATGAGGCACTGGGAAAGCCAGCCAAGTCAGCCTTGGCCGGAGCGGCACTTATAGTTGGAGAAGACGAGGAGAGTGACTACGAGGAGTGTGCCTTCGCGTTCTTCTCTCCGGTGGAGATGCCGGGGGAACCAGCAACTCTCAAGGAGGCCTTGGATAGTAGTGATGCTGAGGAGTGGAAGAAGGCAATGGAGAGTGAGCTGAAGAGCATTGAGGAGAACGGCACATGGGAATTGGTGGAGCTACCGGAGGGGCGTAAGGCGATTACGTCCAAGTGGCTCTTCAAGATCAAGTCCGACGCCGACGGCAAGATCGAGCGCTACAAGTCTAGGCTTGTGGCGAAGGGGTACCAGCAGAAGGAGAAGGTGGACTATAAGGAGTTGTTTGCTCCTGTGGTGAAGCCGACGACGCTGCGAACCCTACTCGCGGGAGCTGCCATCAAAGGATGGGTGGTGAAACAAATGGATGTCACAACGGCATTCCTCAATGGCGTCCTTGAGGAAGAGATTTTCATGGCGCAGCCAGAGGGGTTTGATGATGGTAGTGGCAGAGTTTTGAGGCTGAAGAAGGCCCTTTATGGACTGAAGCAGGCCCCTAGGCAGTGGTACTTGAAGCTGCGAGGAGTTTTGGAGGAGATCGGCTTCACTCCCTCAACGGCCGATCACTCATTGTTCATGCTTGGCGAGGGGGAGCAGAGGAGCTTCATGGTGGTGTACGTGGATGACATCCTCATCTTTTCACCCTCATCTGACCTTGTGAAGGAGGTGATGCTGAAGCTTCAGGACAAGTTTAAGTGTAAGGCCCTTGGTGACGTCAACTTCTACCTTGGGCTTCACATTGAACGTGATGTGGAGAAGCGGTGCATGCGGGTGCATCAACGGAAGTACCTGGAGGCATTGGCTGCCAACTTTGGGCAGAGTGAAGGCCATGTGGCTACACCCTTTCCCTCTGGGTTCAAGTGTGTGAAGGGACCAGAGGAGGAGAGCGTTGGTGAAGAGGAGAGGCGCCGTTTTCACTCGTTGGTGGGCAGCCTCATGTACGCGGCGGTAAACACCCGACCGGACGTCGCGTTTGCTACCGGACAGTTGGCTAGGGTTGTTCAATGCCCTAATGAGGAGCAGGTAGCAGCTGGAATGATAGTGGCCAAGTATCTTGGCCAAACACCGACCGTTGGGCTGCAATATTCGGCGGCGGCGCAAAGGCGCCAAAAGGGCGCGGATGGTGTTGAACCCGGGCGTTTGTTCCTCACCGCATTCTCGGATGCTTCTTTTGCATCAGAACCAGAGGACATGACAAGTGTTGGAGGGTTCATTTGCTGTGTTGGTGGAGGCCCAACTGCTTGGGAGAGCAAGAAGCAGGTGGATCAAGCATTGAGCTCGGTGGAGTCCGAGTATATGGCACTCTTCCGTGCCGTACGAGAGATTGTGTGGCAGCGGCGTTTGTTGGCTGAATTGGGGGAGGAGCAGCAAGGACCTACCCCACTCTACTGTGACAGCCAGGGTGCCATTGCTCTTGCTAAGAACCCTGTGTTGCATGGCCTCACCAAGCACATGAGGGTGAAGTGGCATTGGACGAGGAGCATGGTGGCCGCGGGTGAAGTTGAGTTGCACTATGTGAAGACGACAAGGCAGCCAGCTGACATGATGACCAAGAGGCTGGTGGAGCAGCAGCATTGGAAGTGTTGCAAGCTGGCTGGGATGGCTCTGAACTGAGAGAGCAAGATCCTAAGGCCAACAATCCGAGGGGGAGTTTGTTGGTGCAACCCTACGGTTTGCATTCGGCTTGTTGTCCGTGTGCGTGCATGCGTGTGTGCATGGAATGGTATGAGGGCATGAAATAATATATATTTCATGTTTACAATAGTGTGTGTATGATGAAGCATGATTTTGAATGTGTGCGTCGAGTCAATAGCGAGTTATCGCTAGTCGCGTGTCACGTCGTCGTTTGCGTGTCGTGTGCGGTTTTCTATTTTGTCGTGTGTGGAACGTTCGGCGTGTCGCAGGTGTGCGCAGCAGACTTCCAAGAACTCAAGGAAGAATTTACCTTGAAGAACCAGAGCCTTGGTTTCAAGATTCAAGTTATTTCGAAGCTCTCCAAAAGGGTAAACTTTAAGATAGTGAGAATAGTTGCATTACTTTGTGTAGTGTAACATTTCTCTTGGTGTAGGCCCTTGTGGAGGGTAGTTTCGAGACCCTTCGTGGTTGGGGACAGTGTGGCACTGTTCCACATCACTGTACCTTGGCTCTTGGGGTTTGTAGGAGCTGGGAGTCATTCCCAACTCGTAACTCTTCCTATCTTGTGTTCTAAGACTATAGTGGCTGCCATAGTACCGTTCGTTAAAACCGATGCTGTGTCGTCAATTCTTTATGAAATCGTGCAATCTAAATTGCTTATTGTAGGCGACGTCAAGACGCTCCAGATCCAATTTGAATCAAGTCATTTGCAGCTGTGAGCAGAACGCTATCAACGTTTGAAGCCGCTGTGCAGAAATCCGTCTATGCACTCTATCTTTCGTTTTAGGCACATTCAAGGCTATTGTGACTATAACAGTGATGCTCTCCCCGGACGCCCCAGGGCGTCGCGATGCTCTCCCCGGACGCCCCAGAGCATCGCGATGCTCTCCCCGGACGCCCCAGAGCATCGCGATGCTCTCCCCGGACGCCCCAGAGCATCGCGATGCTCTCCCCGGACGCCCCAGAGCGTCGCGATGCTCTCCCCGGACGCCCCAGAGCGTCGCGATGCTCTCCCCGGACGCCCCAGAGCGTCGCGATGCTCTCCCCGAACGCCCCAGAGCATCGCGACGCTCTCCCCAGACGCCCCAGAGCGTCGCGATGCTCTCCCCGGACGCCCCAGAGCGTCGCGATGCTCTCCCCGGACGCCCCAGAGCGTCGCGATGCTCTCCCCGGACGCCCCAGAGCGTCGCGATGCTCTCCCCGGACGCCCCAGAGCGTCGCGATGCTCTCCCCGGACGCCCCAGAGCGTCGCGATGCTCTCCCCAGCCGCCCCAGAGCGTCGTGATGCTCTCCCCGGACGCCCCAGAGCGTCGCGATGCTCTCCCCAGCCGCCCCAGAGCGTCGTGATGCTCTCCCCGGACGCCCCAGAGCGTCGCGATGCTCTCCCCGGACGCCCCAGAGCGTCGCCATGCTCTCCCCGGACGCCCCAGAGCGTCGCGATGCTCTACCCGGACGCACCAGAGCGTCGCGATGCTCTTCCGGACGCCCCAGAGCGTCGCGATGCTCTCCCGGACGACCCAGAGCGTCGCGATGCTCTCCCCGGACGCCCCAGGGCGTCGCGATGCTCTCCCCGGACGCCCCAGAGCGTCGCGATGCTCTCCCCGGACGCCCCAGAGCGTCGCGATGATCTCCCCGGACGCCCCAGAGCATCGCGATGCTCTCCCCGGACGCCCCAGAGCATCGCGATGCTCTCCCCGGACGCCCCAGAGCGTCGCGATGCTCTCCCCGGACGCCCCAGAGCGTCGCTATGCTCTCCCCGGACGCCCCAGAGCGTCGCGATGCTCTCCCCGAACGCCCCAGAGCATTGCGATGCTCTCCCCAGCCGCCCCAGAGCATTGCGATGCTCTCCCCGGACGCCCCAGAGCGTCGCGATGCTCTCCCGGACACCCCAGAGCGTCGTGATGCTCTCCCCGGACGCCCCAGGGCGTCGCGATGCTCTCCCCGGACGCCCCAGAGTGTCGTGATGCTCTCCCCGGACGCCCAAGAGCGTCGCGATGCTCTCCCCGGACGCCCCAGAGCGTCGCGATGCTCTCCCCGGACGCCCCAGAGCATCGCGATGCTCTCCCCGGACGCCCCAGAGCGTCGCGATGCTCTCCCGGACGCCCCAGAGCGTCGCGATGCTCTCCCCGGACGCCCCAGAGCGTCGCGATGCTCTCCCCCGACGCCCAAGAGCGTCGTGATGCTCTCCCCAGACGCCCCAGAGCGTCGCGATGCTCTACCCGGACGCCCCAGAGCGTCGCGATGCTCTCCCCAGCCGCCTCAGAGCGTCGCTAGGCTCTCGGGCGTCCGGGGAGAGCATCGCGACGCTCTGGGGCGTCCGGGGAGAGCATCGCGACGCTCTGGGGCGTCCGGGGAGAGCATCGCGATGCTCTGGGGCGTCCGGGGAGAGCATCGCGACGCTCTGGTGCGTCCAGGGAGAGCATAGCGACGCTCTGGGGCGTCCGGGGAGAGCATAGCGACGCTCTGGGGCGTCCGGGGAGAGCATCGCGACGCTCTTGGGCGGCCGGGGAGAGCATCGCGACGCTCTTGGGCGTCGGGGGAGAGCATCGCGACGCTCTGGGGCGTCCGGGGAGAGCATCGCGACGCTCTAGGGCGTCCGGGGAGAGCATCACGACGCTCTGGGGCGGCTGGGGAGAGCATCGCGATGCTCTGGGGCGTCCGGGGAGAGCATCGTGATGCTCCGGGGCGTCCGGGGAGAGCATCGCGACGCTCTGGGGCGTCCGGGGAGAGCATCACGACACTCTGGGGCGTCCGGGGAGAGCATCGCGACGCCCTGGGGCGTCCGGGGAGAGCATGACGACGCTCTGGGGTGTCCGGGAGAGCATCGCGACGCTCTGGGGCGTCCGGGGAGAGCATCGCGACGCTCTGGGGCGTCCGGGGAGAGCATCGCGACGCTCTGGGGCGTCCGGGGAGAGCATCGCGACGCTCTGGGGCGTCCGGGGAGAGCATCGCGACGCTCTGGGGCGTCCGGGGAGAGCATCGCGATGCTCTGGGGCGTCCGGGGAGAGCATCGCGACACTCTGGGGCGTCCGGGGAGAGCATGGCGACGCTCTGGGGCGTCCAGGGAGAGCATCGTGACGCTCTGGGGCGTCTGGGGAGAGCATCGCGACGCTCTGGGGCGTCCGGGGAGAGCATCACGACGCTCTGGGGCGGCTGGGGAGAACATCGCGACGCTCTGGGGCGTCCTGGTAGAGCATCGAGACGCTCTGGGGCGTCCGGGGAGAGCATCGCGACGGCTCTGGGGCGTCTGGGGAGAGCATCGCGACGCTCTGGGGCGTCCGGGGAGAGCATCGCGACGCTCTGGGGCGTCCGGGGAGAGCATCGCGACGCTCTGGGGCGTCCGGGGAGAGCATCACGACGCTCTGGGGCGGCTGGGAAGAGCATCGCGACGCTCTGGGGCGTCCGGGTAGAGCATCGCGACGCTCTGGGGCGTCCGGGGAGAGCATCGCGACGCTGTGGGGCGTCCGGGGAGAGCATCGCGATGCTCTAGGGCGTCCGGGGAGAGCATCGCGATGCTCTGGGGCGTCCGGGGAGAGCATTGCGACGCTCTGGGGCGTCCGGGGAGAGCATCACGACGCTCTGGGGCGTCCGGGGAGAGCATCGCGACGCTCTGGGGTGTCCGGGGAGAGCATCGCGACGCTCTGGGGCGTCCGGGGATAGCATCGCGACGCTCTGGGGCGTCCGGGGAGAGCATCGCGACGCTCTGGGGCGTCCGGGGAGAGCATCGCGATGCTCTGGGGCGTCCGGGGAGAGCATCGCAACGCTCTGGGGCGTCCGGGGAGAGCATCACGACGCTCAGGGGCGTCCGAGGAGAGCATCGCGACGCTCTGGGGCGTCCGGGGAGAGCATCACGACGCTCTGGGGCGTCCGGGGGAGCATCGCGACGCTCTGGGGCGTCCGGGAGAGCATCGCGACGCTCTGGGGCATCCGGGTAGAGCATCGCGACGCTCTGGGGCGTCCGGGGAGAGCATCGCGACGCTCTGGGGCGTCCGGAGAGAGCATCGCGACACTCTGGGGCGTCCGGGGAGAGCATCGCGATGCTCTGGGGCGTACGGGGAGAGCATCGCGACGCTCTGGGGCGTTCGCGGAGAGCATCGCGACGCTCTGGGGCGGCTGGGGAGAGCATCGCGACGCTCTGGGGCGTCCGCGGAGAGCATCGCGACGCTCTGGGGCGGCTGGGGAGAGCATCGCGACGCTCTGGGGCGTCCGGGTAGAGCATCGCGACGCTCTGGGGCGTCCGGGGAGAGCATCGCGACGCTCTGGGGCGTCCGGGGAGAGCATAGCGACGCTCTGGGGCGTACGGGGAGAGCATCGCGACGCTCTGGGGCGTCCGGGGAGAGCATCGCGACGCTCTGGGGCGGCTGGGGAGAGCATCGCGACGCTCTGGGGCGTCCGGGGAGAGCATCACGACGCTCTGGGGCGGCTGGGGAGAGCATCGCGACGCTCTGGGGCGTCCTGGTAGAGCATCGCGACGCTCTGGGGCGTCCGGGGAGAGCATCGCGACGCTCAAGGGGCGTCCGGGAAGAGCATAGCGACGCTCTGGGGCGTCCGGGGAGAGCATCGCGACGCGCTGGGGCGTCCGGGGAGAGCATCGTGACGCTCTGGGGCGTCCTGGGAGAGCATCGCGACGCTCTGGGGCGTCCGGGGAGAGCATAGCGACGCTCTGGGGCGTCCGGGGAGAGCATCGCGACGCTCTGGGGCGTCCGGGGAGAGCATCGCGACGCTCTGGGGCGTCCGGGGAGAGCATCGCGACGCTCTTGGGCGTCAGGGGAGAGCATCGCGACGCTCTGGGGCGTCCGGGGAGAGCATCGCGACGCTCTGGGGCGTCCGGGGAGAGCATCACGACGCTCTGGGGCAGCTGGGGAGAGCATCGCGACGCTCTGGGGCGTCCGGGTAGAGCATCGCGATGCTCTGGGGCGTCCGGGGAGAGCATCGCGACGCTCAGGGGCGTCCGGGAAGAGCATAGCAACGCTCTGGGGCGTCCGGGGAGAGCATCGTGACGCTCTGGGGCGTCCGGGGAGAGCATCGCGACGCTCTGGGGCGTCCAGGGAGAGCATCGCGACGCTCTGGGGCGTCCGGGGAGAGCATCGCGATGCTCTGGGACGTCTGGGGAGAGCATCGCGATGCTCTGGGGCGTCCGGGGAGAGCATCGCGACGCTCTGGGGCGTCCGGGGATAGCATGGCGACGCTGTGGGGCGTCCGGGGAGAGCATCGCGACGCTGTGGGGCGTCCGGGGAGAGCATCGCGACGCTCTGGGGCGTCCGGGGAGAGCATCACGACGCTCTGGGGCGGCTGGGGAGAGCATCGCGACGCTCTGGGGCGTCCAGGTAGAGCATCGAGACGCTCTGGGGCGTCCGCGGAGAGCATCGCGACGCTCTGGGGCGTCCGGGGAGAGCATCGCGACGCTCTGGGGCGTCCCGGGAGAGCATCGCGATGCTCTGGGGCGTCCGGGTAGAGCACCGCGACGCTCTGGGGCGTCCGGGGAGAGCATCACGACGCTCTGGGGCGTCCGGGGAGAGCATCGCGACGCTCTGGGGCGTCTGGGGAGAGCATCGCGACGCTCTGGGGCGTCCCGGGAGAGCATCGCGACGCTCTGGGGCGTCCGGGGAGAGCATCGCGACGCTCTTGGGCGTCCGGGGAGAGCATCGCAACGCTCTGGGGCGTCCGGGGAGAGCATCGCGACGCTCTGGGGCGTCCGGGGAGAGCATCGCGACGCTCTGGGGCGTCCGGGGAGAGCATCGCGATGCTCTGGGACGTCTGGGGAGAGCATCGCGATGCTCTGGGGCGTCCGGGGAGAGCATCGCGACGCTCTGGGGCGTCCGGGGAGAGCATGGCGACGCTCTGGGGCGTCCGGGGAGAGCATCGCGACGCTCTGGGGCGTCCGGGGAGAGCATCGCGACGCTCTGGGGCGTCCGGGGAGAGCATCACGACGCTCTGGGGCGGCTGGGGAGAGTATCGCGACACTCTGGAGCGTCCAGGTAGAGCATCGAGACGCTCTGGGGCGTCCGGGGAGAGCATCGCGACTCTCTGGGGCGTCCGGGGAGAGCATCGCGACGCTCTGGGGCGTCCCGGGAGAGCATCGCGATGCTCTGGGGCGTCCGGGTAGAGCATCGCGACGCTCTGGGGCGTCCGGGGAGAGCATCACGACGCTCTGGGGCGTCCGGGAAGAGCATCGCGACGCTCTGGGGCGTCCTAGGAGAGCATCGCGACGCTCTTAGGCGTCCGGGGAGAGCATCGCAACGCTCTGGGGCGTCCGGGGAGAGCATCACGACGCTCTGGGGCGTCCGGGGAGAGCATCGTGACGCTCTGGGGCGGCTGGGGAGAGCATCGCGACGCTCTTGGGCGTCGGGGGAGAGCATCGCGACGCTCTGGGGCGTCCGGGGAGAGCATCGCGACGCTCTGGGGCATCCGGGGAGAGCATCACGACGCTCTGGGGCGTCCTGGTAGAGCATCGCGACGCTCTGGGGCGTCCGGGGAGAGCATCGCGACGCTCAGGGGCGTCCGGGAAGAGCATAGCGACGCTCCCGGGCGTCCGGGGAGAGCATCGCGACGCTCTGGGGCGTCCGGGGAGAGCATCGTGACGCTCTGGGGTGTCCTGGGAGAGCATCGCGACGCTCAAGGGCGTCCGGGGAGAGCATAGCGACGCTCTGGGGCGTCCAGGGAGAGCATCGCGACGCTCTGGGGCGTCCGGGGAGAGCATCGCGATGCTCTGGGGCGTCCGGGGAGAGCATCGCGACGCTCTGGGGCGTCCGGGGAGAGCATCGCGACGCTCTGGGGCGTCCGGGGAGAGCATCGCAACGCTCTGGGGCGTCCGGGGAGAGCATCGCGACGCTCTGGGGCATCCGGGGAGAGCATCGCGACGCTTTGGGGCGTCCGGGGAGAGCATCGCGATGCTCTGGGGCGTCCGGGGAGAGCATCGCGACGCTCTGGGGCGTCCGGGTAGAGCATCGCGACGCTCTGGGGCGTCCGGGGAGAGCATCGCGACGCTCTGGGGCGTCCGGGGAGAGCATCGCGACGCTCTGGGGCGTCTGGGGAGAGCATCGCGATGCTCTGGGACGTCTGGGGAGAGCATTGCAATGCTCTGGGGCGTCCGGGGAGAGCATCGCGACGCTCTGGGGCGTCCGGGGAGAGCATGGCGACGCTCTGGGGCGTCCGGGGAGAGCATCGCGACGCTCTGGGGCGTCCGGGGAGAGCATCGCGACGCTCTGGGGCGTCCGGGGAGAGCATCACGACGCTCTGGGGCGGCTGGGGAGAGCATCGCGACGCTCTGGGGCGTCTTGGTAGAGCATCGAGACGCTCTGGGGAGTCCGGGGAGAGCATCGCGACGCTCAGGGGCGTCCGGGGAGAGCATCGCGACGCTCTTTGTCGTCCGGGGAGAGCATCGCGATGCTCTGGGGCGTCCGGGGAGAGCATCGCGACGCTCTGGGGCGTCCGGGGAGAGCATCACGACGCTCTGGGGCGTCCGGGGAGAGCATCGCGACGCTCTGGGGCGTCCGGGGAGAGCATCACGACGCTCTGGGGCGTCCGGGAGAGCATCGCGACGCTCTGGGGCGTCCGGGAGAGCATCGCGACGCTCTGGGGCGTCCGGGTAGAGCATCGCGACGCTCTGGGGCGTCCGGGGAGAGCATCGCGACGCTCTGGGGCGTCCGGGGAGAGCATCGCGACACTCTGGGGCGTCCGGGGAGAGCATCGCGACGCTCTGGGGCGTCCGGTGAGAGCATCGCGACGCTCTGGGGCGTCCGGGGAGAGCATCGCGACGCTCTGGGCGGCTGGGGAGAGCATCGCGACGCTCTGGGGCGTCCGGGTAGAGCATCGCGACGCTCTAGGGCGTCCGGGGAGAGCATCGCGACGCTCTGGGGCGTCCGGGGAGAGCATCGCGATGCTCTGGGGCGTCCGGGGAGAGCATAGCGACGCTCTGGGGCTTCCGGGGAGAGCATCGCGATGCTCTGGGGCGTCCGTGTAGAGCATCGCGACGCTCTGGGGAGTCCGGGGAGAGCATCGCGACGCTCTGGGGCGTCGGGGGAGAGCATCGACGCTCTGGTGAGACCGGGGAGAGCATCGCGACGCTCTGGGGCGTCCGGGGAGAGCATCGCGACGCTCTGGGGCGTCCGGGGAGAGCATCGCGACGCTCTGGGGCGTCCGGGGAGAGCATTGCGACGCTCTGGGGCGTCCGGGTAGAGCATAGCGACGCTCTGGGGCGTCCGGGGAGAGCATCGCGACGCTCTGGGGCGTCCGGGGAGAGCATCGCAATGCTCTGGGGCGTCCGGGGAGAGCATCGCGACGCTCTAGGGCGTCCGGGGAGAGCATCACGACGCTCTGGGGCGGCTGGGGAGAGCATCGCGATGCTCTGGGGCGTCCGGGGAGAGCATCGTGATGCTCCGGGGCGTCCGGGGAGAGCATCGCGACGCTCTGGGGCGTCCGGGGAGAGCATCACGACACTCTGGGGCGTCCGGGGAGAGCATCGCGACGCCCTGGGGCGTCCGGGGAGAGCATGACGAAGCTCTTGGGTGTCCGGGAGAGCATCGCGACGCTCTGGGGCGTCCGGGAGAGCATCGCGACGCTCTGGGGCGTCGGGGTAGAGCATCGCGACGCTCTGGGGCGTCCGGGGAGAGCATCGCGACGCTCTGGGGCGTCCGGGGAGAGCATCGCGACGCTCTGGGGCGTTCGAGGAGAGCATCGCGACGCTCTGGGGCGTCCGGGGAGAGCATCACGACGCTCTGGGGTAGCTGGGGAGAGCATCGCGACGCTCTGGGGCGTCCGGGTAGAGCATCGCGATGCTCTGGGGCGTCCGGGGAGAGCATCGCGACGCTCAGGGGCGTCCGGGGAGAGCATCGCGACGCTCAGGGGCGTCCGGGAAGAGCATCGCGACGCTCTGGGGCGTCCGGGGAGAGCATCGCGACGCTCTGGGGCGTCCGGGGAGAGCATCGTGACGCTCTGGGGCGTCCGGGGAGAGCATCGCGACGCTCTGGGGCGTTCGGGGAGAGCATCGCGACGCTCTGGGGCGTCCGAGGAGAGCATCACGACGCTCTGGGGCAGCTGGGGAGAGCATCGCGACGCTCTGGGGCGTCCGGGTAGAGCATCGCGATGCTCTGGGGCGTCCGGGGAGAGCATCGCGACGCTCAGGGGAGTCCGGGAAGAGCATAGCGACGCTCTGGGGCGTCCGGGGAGAGCATCGCGACGCTCTGGGGCGTCCGGGGAGAGCATCTTGACGCTCTGGGGCGTCCGGGGAGAGCATCGCGACGCTCTGGGGCGTCCGGGGAGAGCATCGCGACGCTCTGGGGCGTCCGGGGAGAGCATCGCGATGCTCTGGGACGTCTGGGGAGAGCATCGCGATGCTCTGGGGCGTCCGGGGAGAGCATTGCGACGCTCTGGGGCGTCCGGGGAGAGCATCACGACGCTCTGGGGCGTCCGGGGAGAGCATCGCGACGCTCTGGGGTGTCCGGGGAGAGCATCGCGACGCTCTGGGGCGTCCGGGGAGAGCATCGCGACGCTCTGGGGCGTCCGGGGAGAGCATCGCGATGCTCTTGGGCGTCCGGGGAGAGCATCGCAACGCTCTGGGGCGTCCGAGGAGAGCATCACGACGCTCTGGGGCGTCCGAGGAGAGCATCGCGACGCTCTGGGGCGTCCGGGGAGAGCATCACGACGCTCTGGGGCGTCCGGGAGAGCATCGCGACGCTCTGGGGCGTCCGGGAGAGCATCGCGACGCTCTGGGGCGTCCGGGTAGAGCATCGCGACGCTCTGGGGCGTCCGGGGAGAGCATCGCGACGCTCTGCATCGCGACGCTCTGGGGACTCCGGGGAGAGCATCGCGACGCTCTGGGGCGGCTGGGGAGAGCATCGCGACGCTCTGGGGCGTCCGGGGAGAGCATCACGACGCTCTGGGGCGGCTGGGGAGAGCATCGCGACGCTCTGGGGCGTCCTGGTAGAGCATCGCGACGCTCTGGGGCGTCCGGGGAGAGCATCGCGACGCTCAAGGGGCGTCCGGGAAGAGCATAGCGACGCTCTGGGGCGTCCGGGGAGAGCATCGCGACGCGCTGGGGCGTCCGGGGAGAGCATCGTGACGCTCTGGGGCGTCCTGGGAGAGCATCGCGACGCTCTGGGGCGTCCGGGGAGAGCATAGCGACGCTCTGGGGCGTCCGGGGAGAGCATCGCGACGCTCTGGGGCGTCCGGGGAGAGCATCGCGACGCTCTGGGGCGTCCGGGGAGAGCATCGCGACGCTCTTGGGCGTCAGGGGAGAGCATCGCGACGCTCTGGGGCGTCCGGGGAGAGCATCGCGACGCTCTGGGGCGTCCGGGGAGAGCATCACGACGCTCTGGGGCAGCTGGGGAGAGCATCGCGACGCTCTGGGGCGTCCGGGTAGAGCATCGCGATGCTCTGGGGCGTCCGGGGAGAGCATCGCGACGCTCAGGGGCGTCCGGGAAGAGCATAGCAACGCTCTGGGGCGTCCGGGGAGAGCATCGCGACGCTCTGGGGCGTGCGGGGAGAGCATCGTGACGCTCTGGGGCGTCCGGGGAGAGCATCGCGACGTCTGGGGCGTCCGGGGAGAGCATCGCGACGCTCTGGGGCGTCCGGGGAGAGCATCGCGATGCTCTGGGACGTCTGGGGAGAGCATCGCGATGCTCTGGGGCGTCCGGGGAGAGCATCGAGACGCTCTGGGGCGTCCGGGGATAGCATGGCGACGCTGTGGGGCGTCCGGGGAGAGCATCGCGACGCTCTGGGGCGTCCGGGGAGAGCATCGCGACGCTCTGGGGCGTCTGGGGAGAGCATCGCGACGCTCTGGGGCGTCCCGGGAGAGCATCGCGACGCTCTGGGGCGTCCGGGGAGAGCATCGCGACGCTCTGGGGCGTCCGGGGAGAGCATCGCGATGCTCTGGGACGTCTGGGGAGAGCATCGCGATGCTCTGGGGCGTCCGGGTAGAGCACCGCGACGCTCTGGGGCGTCCGGGGAGAGCATCACGACGCTCTGGGGCGTCCGGGGAGAGCATCGCGACGCTCTGGGGCGTCTGGGGAGAGCATCGCGACGCTCTGGGGCGTCCCGGGAGAGCATCGCGACGCTCTGGGGCGTCCGGGGAGAGCATCGCGACGCTCTGGGGCGTCCGGGGAGAGCATCGCGATGCTCTGGGACGTCTGGGGAGAGCATCGCGATGCTCTGGGGCGTCCGGGGAGAGCATCGCGACGCTCTGGGGCGTCCGGGGAGAGCATGGCGACGCTCTGGGGCGTCCGGGGAGAGCATCGCGACGCTCTGGGGCGTCCGGGGAGAGCATCGCGACGCTCTGGGGCGTCCGGGGAGAGCATCACGACGCTCTGGGGCGGCTGGGGAGAGCATCGCGACACTCTGGAGCGTCCAGGTAGAGCATCGAGACGCTCTAGGGCGTCCGGGGAGAGCATCGCGACGCTCTGGGGCGTCCGGGGAGAGCATCGCGACGCTCTGGGGCGTCCCGGGAGAGCATCGCGATGCTCTGGGGCGTCCGGGTAGAGCATCGCGACGCTCTGGGGCGTCCGGGGAGAGCATCACGACGCTCTGGGGCGTCCGGGAAGAGCATCGCGACGCTCTGGGGCGTCCTAGGAGAGCATCGCGACGGTCTTAGGCGTCCGGGGAGAGCATCGCAACGCTCTGGGGCGTCCGGGGAGAGCATCACGACGCTCTGGGGCGTCCGGGGAGAGCATCGCGACGCTCTGGGGCGGCTGGGGAGAGCATCGCGACGCTCTTGGGCGTCGGGGGAGAGCATCGCAACGCTCTGGGGCGTCCGGGGAGAGCATTGCGACGCTCTGGGGCGTCCGGGGAGAGCATCACGACGCTCTGGGGCGTCCTGGTAGAGCATCGCGACGCTCTGGGGCGTCCGGGGAGAGCATCGCGACGCTCAGGGGCGTCCGGGAAGAGCATAGCGACGCTCCGGGGCGTCCGGGGAGAGCATCGCGACGCTCTGGGGCGTCCGGGGAGAGCATCGTGACGCTCTGGGGCGGCTGGGGAGAGCATCGCGACGCTCTTGGGCGTCGGGGGAGAGCATCGCAACGCTCTGGGGCGTCCGGGGAGAGCATTGCGACGCTCTGGGACGTCCGGGGAGAGCATAGCGACGCTCTGGGGCGTCCGGGGAGAGCATCGCGACGCTCTGGGGCGTCCGGGGAGAGCATCGCGACGCTCTGGGGCGTCCGAGGAGAGCATCGCGACGCTCTGGGGCGTCCGGGGAGAGCATCGCGACGCTTTGGGGCGTCCGGGGAGAGCATCGCGATGCTCTGGGGCGTCCGGGGAGAGCATCGCGACGCTCTGGGGCGTCCGGGTAGAGCATCGCGACGCTCTGGGGCGTCCGGGGAGAGCATCGCGACGCTCTGGGGCGTCCGGGGAGAGCATCGCGACGCTCTGGGGCGTCCGGGGAGAGCATCGCGAAGCTCTGGGGCGTCCGGGGAGAGCATCCGACGCTCTGGGGCGTCCAGGGAGAGCATTGCGACGCTCTGGGGCGTCCGGGTAGAGCATAGCGACGCTCTGGGGCGTCCGGGGAGAGCATCGCGACGCTCTGGGGCGTCCGGGGAGAGCATCGCAATGCTCTGGGGCGTCCGGGGAGAGCATCGCGACGCTCTGGGGCGTCCGGGGAGAGCATCACGACGCTCTGGGGCGGCTGGGGAGAGCATCGCGATGCTCTGGGGCGTCCGGGGAGAGCATCGTGATGCTCCGGGGCGTCCGGGGAGAGCATCGTGACGCTCTGGGGCGTCCGGGGAGAGCATCACGACACTCTGGGGCGTCCGGGGAGAGCATCGCGACGCCCTGGGGCGTCCGGGGAGAGCATGACGACGCTCTGGGGTGTCCGGGAGAGCATCGCGACGCTCTGGGGCGTCCGGGAGAGCATCGCGACGCTCTGGGGCGTCGGGGTAGAGCATCGCGACGCTCTGGGGCGTCCGAGGAGAGCATCGCGACGCTCTGGGGCGTCCGGGGAGAGCATCGCGACGCTCTGGGGCGTCCGGGGAGAGCATCGCGACGCTCTGGGGCGTCCGGGGAGAGCATCATGACGCTCTAGGGCAGCTGGGGAGAGCATCGCGACGCTCTGGGGCGTCCGGGTAGAGCATCGCGATGCTCTGGGGCGTCCAGGGAGAGCATCGCGACGCTCAGGGGCGTCCGGGAAGAGCATAGCGACGCTCTGGGGCGTCCGGGGAGAGCATCGCGACGCTCAGGGGCGTCCGGGAAGAGCATAGCGACGCTCTGGGGCGTCCGGGGAGAGCATAGCGACGCTCTGGGGCGTCTGGGGAGAGCATCGTGACGCTCTGGGGCGTCCGGGGAGAGCATCGCGACGCTCTGGGGCGTCCGGGGAGAGCATCGCGACGCTCTGGGGCGTACGGGGAGAGCATCGCGATGCTCTGGGACGTCTGGGGAGAGCATCGCGACGCTCTGGGGCGTCCGGGGAGAGCATCACGACGCTCTAGGGCAGCTGGGGAGAGCATCGCGACGCTCTGGGGCGTCCGGGTAGAGCATCGCGATGCTCTGGGGCGTCCGGGGAGAGCATCGCGACGCTCAGGGGCGTCCGGGAAGAGCATAGCGACGCTCTGGGGCGTCCGGGGAGAGCATCGCGACGCTCTGGGGCGTCCGGGGAGAGCATCGTGACGCTCTGGGGCGTCCGGGGAGAGCATCGCGACGCTCTGGGGCGTCCGGGGAGAGCATCGCGACGCTCTGGGGCGTCCGGGGAGAGCATCGCGATGCTCTGGGACGTCTGGGGAGAGAATCGCGATGCTCTGGGGCGTCCGGGGAGAGCATCGCGACGCTCTGGGGCGTCCGGGGAGAGCATGGCGACGCTGTGGGGCGTCCGGGGAGAGCATCGCGACGCTCTGGGGCGTCCGGGGAGAGCATCGCGACGCTCTGGGGCGTCCGGGGAGAGCATCACGACGCTCTGGGGCGTCCGGGTAGAGCATCGCGATGCTCTGGGGCGTCCGGGGAGAGCATCGCGACGCTCAGGGGCGTCCGGGAAGAGCATAGCGACGCTCTGGGGCGTCCGGGGAGAGCATCGCGACGCTCTGGGGCGTCCCGGGAGAGCATCGCGATGCTCTGGGGCGTCCGGGTAGAGCATCGCGACGCTCTGGGGCGTCCGGGGAGAGCATCACGACGCTCTGGGGCGTCCGGGAAGAGCATCACGACGCTCTGGGGCGTCCTAGGAGAGCATCGCGACGCTCTTAGGCGTCCGGGGAGAGCATCGCAACGCTCTGGGGCGTCCGGGGAGAGCATCACGATGCTCTGGGGCGTCCGGGGAGAGCATCGCGACGCTCTGGGGCGGCTGCGGAGAGCATCGCGACGCTCTTGGGCGTCGGGGGAGAGCATCGCGACGCTCTGGGGCGTCCGGGGAGAGCATCGCGACGCTCTGGGGCGTCCGGGGAGAGCATCACGACGCTCTGGGGCGTCCTGGTAGAGCATCGCGACGCTCTGGGGCGTCCGGGGAGAGCATCGCGACGCTCAGGGGCGTCCGGGAAGAGCATAGCGACGCTCCGGGGCGTCCGGGGAGAGCATCGCGACGCTCTGGGGCGTCCGGGGAGAGCATCGTAACGCTCTGGGGCGTCCTGGAAGAGCATCGCGACGCTCTGGGGTGTCCGGGGAGAGCATAGCGACGCTCTGGGGCGTCCAGGGAGAGCATCGCGACGCTCTGGGGCGTCCGGGGAGAGCATCGCGATGCTCTGGGGCGTCCGGGGAGAGCATCGCGACGCTCTGGGGCGTCCGGGGAGAGCATCGCGACGCTCTGGGGCGTCCGGGGAGAGCATCGCGACGCTCTGGGGCGTCCGGGGAGAGCATCGCGACGCTCTGGGGCGTCCGGGGAGAGCATCGCGACGCTTTGGTGCCTCCGGGGAGAGCATCGCGATGCTCTGGGGCGTCCGGGGAGAGCATCGCGACGCTCTGGGGCGTCCGGGTAGAGCATCGCGACGCTCTGGGGCGTCCGGGGAGAGCATCGCGACGCTCTGGGGCGTCCGGGGAGAGCATCGCGACGCTCTGGGGCGTCCGGGGAGAGCATCGCGATGCTCTGGGACGTCTGGGGAGAGCATTGCGATGCTCTGGGGCGTCCGGGGAGAGCATCGCGACGCTCTGGGGCGTCCGGGGAGAGCATGGCGACGCTCTGGGGCGTCCGGGGAGAGCATCGCGACGCTCTGGGGCGTCCGGGGAGAGCATCGCGACGCTCTGGGGCGTCCGGGGAGAGCATCACGACGCTCTGGGGCGGCTGGGGAGAGCATCGCGACGCTCTGGGGCGTCCTGGTAGAGCATCGAGACGCTCTGGGGAGTCCGGGGAGAGCATCGCGACGCTCAGGGGCGTCCGGGGAGAGCATCGCGACGCTCTTTGTCGTCCGGGGAGAGCATCGCAACGCTCTGGGGCGTCGGGGGAGAGCATCGACACTCTGGTGAGACCGGGGAGAGCATCGCGACGCTCTGGGGCGTCTGGGGAGAGCATCGCGACGCTCTGGGGCGTCCGGGGAGAGCATCGCGACGCTCTGGGGCGTCCGGGGAGAGCATCGCGACGCTCTGGGGCGTCCGGGGAGAGCATCGCGACGCTCTGGGGCGTCCGGGGAGAGCATCGCGACGCTCTGGGGCGTCCGGGGAGAGCATCGCGACGCTCTGGGGCGTCCGGGGAGAGCATCGCGACGCTCTGGGGCGTCCGGGGAGAGCATCGCGACGCTCTGGGGCGTCCGGGGAGAGCATCGCGACGCTCTGGGGGCGTCCAGGGAGAGCATCGCGACGCTCTGGGGCGTCCGGGGAGAGCATCGCGACGCTCAGGGGCGTCCGGGGAGAGCATCGCGACGCTCTGGGGCGTCCGGGGAGAGCATCGCGACGCTCTGGGGCGTCCGGGGAGAGCATCGCGACGCTCTGGGGCGTCCGGGGAGAGCATAGCGACGCTCTGGGGCGTCCGGTGAGAGCATCGCGACGCTCTGGGGCGTCTGGGGAGAGCATCGCAATGCTCTGGGGCGTCCGGGGAGAGCATCGCGACGCTTTGCGGCGTCCGGGGAGAGCATCGCGACGCTCTGGGGCGTCCAGGGAGAGCATCACGACGCTCTGGGGCGGCTGGGGAGAGCATCGCGATGCTCTGGGGCGTCCGGGGAGAGCATCGCGATGCTCCGGGGCGTCCGGGAAGAGCATCGCGACGCCCTGGGGCGTCCAGGGAGAGCATCACGACGCTCTGGGGTGTCCGGGAGAGCATCGCGACGCTCTGGGGCATCCGAGAGAGCATCGCGACGCTCTGGGGCGTCGGGGGTAGAGCATCGCGACGCTCTGGAGCGTCCGGGGAGAGCATCGCGACGCTCTGGGGCGTCCAGGGAGAGCATCGCGACGCCTCTGGGGCGTCCAGGGAGAGCATCGCGACGCTTTGGGGCGTCCGGGGAGAGCATCGCGACGCTCTGGGGCGTCCGGGGAGAGCATCGCGACGCTCTGGGGCGTCCGGGGAGAGCATCGCGACGCTCTGGGGCGTCCGGGGAGAGCATCGCGACGCGCTGGGGCGTCCGGGTAGAGCATCGCGACGCTCTGGGGCGTCCGGGTAGAGCATCGCGACGCTTTGGGGCGTCGGGTGAGAGCATCGCAACGCTCTGGGGCGTCCTGGAAGAGCATCGCGACGCTCTGGGACGTCCGGGGAGAGCATCGCGATGCTCTGGGCCGTCCGGGGAGAGCATTGCGATGCTCTGGGGCGTCCGGGGAGAGCATCGCGTTGCTGTGGGTCGTCCGGGGAGAGCATCACGACGCCCTGGGGCGTCCGGGGAGAGCATCGCGATGCTCTGGGGCGTCCGGGGAGAGCATCGCGACGCTCTGGGGCGTCCGGGGAGAGCATAGCGACGCTCTGGGGCGTCCGGGGAGAGCATCGCGACGCTCTGGGGCGTCCGGGGAGAGCATCGCGATGCTCTGGGGCGTCCGGGAGAGCATCGCGACGCTCTGGGGCGTCCGGGGAGAGCATTGCGACGCTCTGGGGCGTCCGGGGAGAGCATCGCGACGCTCTGGGGCGTCTGGGGAGAGCATCGCGACGCTCTAGGGCGTCCGGGGAGAGCATCGCGACACTCTGGGGCGTCCGGGTAGAGCATCGCGACGCTCCGGGGCGTCCGGGGGAGAGCATCGCGACGCTCTGGAGCGTCCGGGGAGAGCATCGCACGCTCTGGGGCGTCCGGGTAGAGCATCGCGACGCGCTGGGGCGTCCGGGGAGAGCATCGCGACGCTCTGGGGCGTCCGGGGAGAGCATTGCGACGCTCTGGGGCGTCCGGGGAGAGCATCGCGACGCTCTGAGGCGTCCGGGGAGAGCATCGCGACGCGCTGGGGCTTCCGGGGAGAGCATCGCGACGCTCTGAGGCGTCCGGTAAGAGCATCGCGACGCTCTGGGGCGTCCGGGGAGAGCATCGCGACGCTCTGCGGCGTCCGGGGAGAGCATCGCAAAGCTCTAGGGCGTCTGGGTAGAGCATCGCGACGCTCTGGGGCGTCCGGGGAGAGCATCGCGACGCTCTAGAGGCGTCCGGGGAGAGCATCGCGACGCTCTGGGGCGTCCGGGGAGAGCATCGCGACGCTCTTGGGCGTCCGGGGAGAGAATCGCGACGCTCTGAGGCGTCCGGGTAGAGCATCGCGACGCTCTGGGGCGTCCGGGGAGAGCATCGCGACGCTCTGCGGGCGTCCGGGGAGAGCATCGCAAAAGCTCTAGGGGCGTCTGGGTAGAGCATCGCGACGCTCTGGGGCGTCCGGGGGAGAGCATCGCGACGCTCTAGGGCGTCCGGGGAGAGCATCGCGACGCTCTGGGGCGTCCGGGGAGAGTTTTCGCGGATGCTCTGAGGGCGTCCAGGGAGAGCATCGCGACGCCTCTGGGGCGTCCGGGGAGAGCATCGCAACGCTCTGGGGCGTCCGGGGAGAGCATCGCGACGCTCTGGGGCGTCCGGGGAGAGCATCGCGACGCTCTGGGCGTCCGTGGAGAGCATCGCGACGCTCTGGGGCGTCCGGGGAGAGCATCGCGACGCTCTGGGGCGTCCGGGGAGAGCATCGCGACGCTCTGGGGCGTCGGGGGAGAGCATCGCGACGCTCTGGGGCGTCCGGGGAGAGCATCGCGACGCGCTGGGGCGTCCGGGGAGAGCATCGCGACGCTCTGGGGCGTCCGGGGAGAGCATCGCGACGCTCTGGGGCGTCCGGGGAGAGCATCGCGACGCTCTGGGGCGTCCGGGTAGAGCATCGCGACGCTCTGGGGCGTCCGGGAGAGCATCGCGACGCTCTGGGCGTCCGGGAGAGCATCGCGACGCTCTGGGGCGTCCGGGGAGAGCATCGCGACGCTCTGGGGCGTCCGGGGAGAGCATCGCGACGCTCTGGGGCGTCCGGGGGAGGCATCGCGACGCTCTGGGGCGTCCGGGGAGAGCATCGCGACGCTCTGGGGCGTCCGGGGAGAGCATCGCGACGCTCTGGGGCGTCCGGGGAGAGCATCGCGACGCTCTGGGGCGTCCGGGGAGAGCATCGCGACGCTCTGGGGCGTCCGGGGAGAGCATCGCGACGCTCTGGGGCGTCCGGGGAGAGCATCGCGACGCTCTGGGGCGTCCGGGTAGAGCATCGCGACGCTCTGGGGCGTCCGGGAGAGCATCGCGACGCTCTGGGGCGTCCGGGGAGAGCATCGCGACGCTCTGGGGCGTCCGGGAGAGCATCGCGACGCTCTGGGGCGTCCGGGGAGAGCATCGCGACGCTCTGGGGGCGTCCGGGGAGAGCATCGCGACGCTCTGGGGCGTCCGGGGAGAGCATCGCGACGCTTTGGGGCGGCTGGGGAGAGCATCGCGACGCTCTGGGGCGTCCGGGTAGAGCATCGCGACGCTTTGGGGCGTCGGGTGAGAGCATCGCGACGCTCTGGGGCGTCCTGGAAGAGCATCGCGACGCTCTGGGACGTCCGGGAGAGCATCGCGATGCTCTGGGCCGTCCGGGGAGAGCATTCGCGATGCTCTGGGGCGTCCGGGGAGAGCATTGCGTGCTGTGGGTCGTCCGGGGGAGAGCATTCACGACGCCCTGGGGGCGTCCGGGGAGAGCATCGCGATGCTCTGGGGCGTCCGGGGAGAGCATCGCGACGCTTTGGGGCGTCCGGGGAAAGCATAGCGACGCTCTGGGGCGTCCGGGGAGAGCATCGCGACGCTCTAGGGGCAGTCCGGGGAGAGCATCGCGATGCTCTGGGCGTCCGGGAGAGCATCGCGACGTTCTGGGGCGTCCGGGGAGAGCATTGCGACGCTCTAGGGGCGTCCGGGGAGAGCATTGCGACGCTCTGGGGCGTCGGGGAGAGCATCGCGACGCTCTGGGGGCGTCCGGGGAGAGCATTGCGACGCTCTGGGGCGTCCGGGGAGAGGCATCGCGACGCTCTGGGGCGTCTGGGGAGAGCATCGCGACGTTCTGGGGCGTCCGGGGAGAGCATCGACGCTCTGGGGCGTCCGGGTAGAGCATCGCGACGCTCTGGGCGTCCGGGGAGAGCATCGCGACGCTCTGGGGCGTCCGGGGAGAGCATCGCGACGCTCTGGGGCGTCCGGGTAGAGCATCGCGACGCGCTGGGCGTCCGGGGAGAGCATCGCGACGCTCTGGGGCGTCCGGGGAGAGCATCGCGACGCTCTGGGGCGTCCGGGGAGAGCATCGCGACGCTCTGGGGCGTCCGGGGAGAGCATCGCGACGCTCTGGGGCGTCCGGGGAGAGCATCGCGACGCTCTGGGGCGTCCGGTTAGAGCATCGCGACGCTCTGGGGCGTCCGGTGAGAGCATCGCGACGCTCTGAGGCGTCCGGGGAGAGCATCGCGACGCTCTGGGGCGTCCGGGGAGAGCATCGCGACGCTATGGGGCGTCCGGGGAGAGCATCGCGACGCTCTGGGGCGTACGGGGAGAGCATCGCGACGCTCTGGGGCGTCCAGGAGGAGCATCGCGACGCTCTGGGGCGTCCGGGGAGAGCATCGCGACGCTCTGGGGCGTCCGGGGAGAGCATCGCGACGCTCTGGGGCGTCCGGGGAGAGCATCGCGACGCTCTGGGGCGTCCGGGGAGAGCATCGCGACGCTCTGGGGCGTCCGGGGAGAGCATCGCGACGCTCTGGGGCGTCTGGGGAGAGCATCGCGACGCTCTGGGGCGTCCGGGAGAGCATCGCGACGCTCTGGGGCGTCCGGGGAGAGCATCGCGACGCTCTGGGGCGTCCGGGGAGAGCAGCATCGCGACGCTCTGGAGCGTCCGGGGAGAGCATCGCGACGCTCTGGGGCGTCCGGGTAGAGCATCGCGACGCTCTGGGGCGTCCGGGAGAGCATCGCGACGCTCTGGGGCGTCCGGGGAGAGCATCGCGACGCTCTGGGGCGTCCGGGGAGAGCATCGCGACGCTCTGGGGCGTCCGGGGAGAGCATCGCGACGCTCTGGGCGTCCGGGGAGAGCATCGCGACGCTCTGGGGCGTCCGGGAGAGCATCGCGACGCTCTGGGGCGTCCGGGGAGAGCATCTCGACGCTCTGAGGCGTCGGGGAGAGCATCGCGACGCTCTGGGGCGTCCGGGGAGAGCATCGCGACGCTCTGGGGCGTCCGGGAGAGCATCGCGACGCTCTGGGGCGTACGGGGAGAGCATCGCGACGCTCTGGGGCGTCCGGGGAGAGCATCGCGACGCTCTGGGGCGTCCGGGAGAGCATCGCGATGCTCTGGGGCGGTCCGGGGAGAGCATCGCGACGCTCTGGGGCGTCCGGGGAGAGCATCGCGACGCGCTCTGGGGCGTCCGGGGAGAGCATCGCGACGCTCTGGGGCGTCCGGGGAGAGCATCGCGACGCTCTGGGGCGTCCGGGGAGAGCATCGCGACGCTCTGGGCGTCCGGGTAGAGCATCTCGACGCTCTGGGGCGTCCGGGGAGAGCATCGCGACGCTCTGGGGCGTCCGGGGAGAGCATCGCGACGCTCTGGGGCGTCCGGGAGAGCATCGCGACGCTCTGGGCGTCCGGAGGAGAGCATCGCGACGCTCTGGGGCGTCCGGGTAGAGCATCGTGACGCGCTGGGGCGTCCGGGGAGAGCATCGCGACGCTCTGGGGCGTCCGGGAAGAGCATCGCGACGCTCTGGGGCGTCCGGGGAGAGCATCGCGACGCTCTCTGGGGCGTCCGGCGGAGAGCATCGCGACGCTCTGGGGCGTCCGGGAGAGCATCG